TCATCAAAATGTGCAAGCGCAAGTTGAATATATATATACATGTATCCAATAAGACTTTTTGACTCACACACGAAGCAAAAGAAAACAAAACAAAACAAATATACGCACACCGCTCTTGTTGTTGTTACTTTTTGAGTTTAGCTCTCTGTGGTGCCAAAGGGGACAGAGAGAGAGAAAGAAAGAGAGAGAACGAGAGCTAGAAAGAGAGCTAAGCATCACACAACTACAGCTGTATTTGCTTATTTGTTCGCTTTTGCCCCCTTCTTCTCAAATTGGGTGTTGTGTTTGTTACTTTTGCTGTTGCTGTTGCTGCCATTGCTGCGTGCGGGGTTGCAAAGGCAAGAAAATCGAAAGCGCCATCGCGACATCAGCGGCAGCGTCAGTCGCCAGCTGCCGGTGGTTGCCTTGGACATTGCACAGTGGTTGCCAACAAAATAAAAATTGATTGATCAAATGAGATGAGACATCAAATCTGTGATTAATGAATCTGTATGTAAATATTTACAGTTGCTTTAACGTTTCTGTTCATTATTTATTTATATATTATAATATTATTCTCATATGTATCTATATTTATTTATTTAATGTCAACCAAAATCTGTAGAAAAATAAAGACATTCAAAAAGTAAAAGACCTTAAATCCTTATTGTACAGCCGCGCAATGGAAGCGAATTTTCTTTAATTTCCACTGACTTTGTACCACTGTCGCTACTGCTTATGCTGATGATGATGATGATGACGACAGGCGGCGGTTGAAAAGTCAAAGTCAAATGCAAGACATAAACAACAACAACAACAGAAGCGGCAGCAGCAATAACAGCAATAAACTATGTACACACAATACATAAACACAACAACAGCAGCAGCAGAAAACAAAACAAGTTTTCACTTTTATTTCTTTTGTTTTTTTTTCTTTAGTTACTCAGGTTGCTTTTGGGGAGTGCAAGTGAAGTGCAGCGGGCAGGGGGTGAGGGGAGGGGAGGAGACCGTGTGGCATTCATTACCAAACGACAATTCATATTGCAAATTGTTGTTGTTGTTGATGATTATGATGAATTGCATAAGTCGCAATTGCAATCATAAATCCTTCGCTCATCCGCTTTTGGTCATATGCATGTGAGCGAGACAGTAAGAGAGAGGGAGATATATGTGTTGCTGTATTGCTTTGCATTAAAAAAGCTGCTGGTTTTATCACAACGCAATTGAAAATAACATAGCATAAACATGACCAAATAAAGAGTAGCAATAGCAGCACCATTCACAAATTGCCATTTACGGTTAATCAACAAAATGATTATATGTAATCAAGCAATCACAAATATACCTATAAGAAGCACGCACCCAAATAACTCACCAAAAATAACGGTACTCGTGTGTACATATTTCATTCATGCATTCGCATTCTTTCTCATTCTCATTCCCATTATTCTTCTTATTTAGCCTATTGTTTTGAGTGGCCTTGCCTTGGCGCTTTTATTTTGTTGTTTCTGTTCTTTTTTTTTTGCGCAAATCTAATTGCCATTTTGAGTAGGGTGAGGCGATGGCAAATTTGCTTATTTTTTGTTGGGCTGGTAATTTTGGCACAGAGAACGAGCTTAAGCTCAAATGCGTCATTTCCAGCAACAACTGTTCAAAGAATGAAACCGAGTGGATTATGTGTGACAAAAGCTTGTAAATTAATTGACGGAAGTAGTCAAGGAAAGTACACACACACATACACACATGTGTATGTACATGTAATGCCTAATTTAATTGATGGTTGGTTTTGAGTTTGGTTTGGTTTGCCCCCATCAATCACTGGCGTCATTAAACAACACTCAATATACAAAAAATAACACCAATTACAAACTTATTGATAAAAATTCATATTGAAATGAGTGGAGTGAGTGCCCCTATGAGTGATTTTGAAAGACTCTCATTCACACACAAACATACAATGAGCATTCTCGCATGCTAATCACAAGCACGCACACACACACAGAGAAAGAGAGAAAGAAAAAGAGCACCACAGAAACAGAAAAAAATTAACAACTCGCCTGACAACAACTGACTGGAAGTGTGTTGGGGCACAACAATTGTGAGCTGCTTGAATTTGCCGTTTTCGTTTCGTGTGTCGACTTGCTGCCCTTTGCTTGGCGCCTGTTCAAATAAGTTTCAAATTTTGACAAATAAAACCATGGTTTTGTAATTTACGAGCCGCCTATATTTGCAGGGCATCATCATCGATGCGACCAATGTTTGTTGTTGTTGCTGAGTGGAGATTCCCACGCCCATTATTCACACTAACAAACAGGACTCGAAACTCTTCTCTCCCTCTCTCTCTCTCACACACACACACATATGCTCACTCCTCTCTTTAACTTTTTTTTTAACCTCTTCATGGTAAGAGCGCAATAAAAAGGGATTATGTGCATACTGTGTGAGTGTGTGTCTGTGTGTGCGTGTGTGTGTGGGGTTTGAGTGAACCGAAAGAGGCTGGCTGCAAGCAACGTCATCTCCCCGTCTAGACCTTTGATTACCGGCACACACAAAAAAACACACACATACAAACATACTCAGACGCAGCAGCAGCAGCAGCAAAAGAAGATGAAGATGATGATGAAGAACAAGAAGCTGGGCACAGTGAGCTGAAATGTGCTTTGATCGTCCCCAAATGATAATTGCTCTTTATTGGTCAGGCTGCTTTTGGGGAGTGTGTAATAAATGTGTATTTATTCGCCTATCAGTTATTAAATGGAATAAGCTGACATCGTCTACATTTTTTTATTGATGGGTTCACAGTCTACCTACATGGCAAATAAATGATAAGGTCTTAAGCGAAATTGTATGGAGTTATTAATGTGCATTTGAATTGCATATTAAGCAAATTAATCATGTAGATCTATTGGACTCAATTTTGGTTGCATGTTCCAGAGGATTGGCGTTGACAACTGCTTTTTATAAACGCACTTAACATAAAATTAATGAATTCATATTCGTTTTTTCTAAATTTATCTGGCGAATGCTTATTTTGCTCCAGAATTTTAATAAATTGTTTTATTATCTTTAGTGGTTTAATTATATTTAATAATTTCAACATAAGCCACACCAATTATAACTATTTATATCAAACTAACTTAATCACTTTAATCATAATTAGTTTTTTTTTTAATTTCTTTATATCTTTTGAAAATAGATTTCCGATCCGATCTGATATGCTTGCTTCTCATTATTCATATTACAATGCAGTCAAATTGAAAAAAGAAGATATTTCTAGATAAGATAATCAGATAAGCCGCTGCCTTTATTACACAAGAAACTAATTCTTGTTTTCCACTCCCCATTCGATACGGTCATTTTGTCAACAAAGGGCTTACGATCATTTCTTTCTACCTGACTAAACCAGTCATTTTCATTTAGGGTTGCGGATTTGTAATCCTATATATTTGTTCATACGATGGGCAAACGTTTCGTCACACTGCATTTATCAGCATTGTTTTTTCTTCTCTTCTTCTTCACTTGTGCGCATTTCAAATTACGTTGAGCGATAATAAAAAAAGATCTAAAGGAATTTCGCAATCTTTGTTTTAGCACGCACGTAACCACTGTGCAAAAATTAGACGTGCGGGGAGAAATGGCTAAAGGAAGAAGAAAGACAGGCTTGTCAAGGACTGAGTGCCTTGAGCTGAACACTCGATGTCTGGCAAAGGTCAAACAATTGGCAAAAGGCAAGCAAAAAAAAAATGGGAGCCTTGACTTTTGCACTTTCGTCAAAATGCTTTGCGCAAAAATAAAATCAAATACTGCATTCGAAAAGAGATGGGCAAAAAACTCACCACACACCACACACAGCCAAATACTTCAAGTGTCGTCGTCCTTTTCGTGCCGTGGTGAATAAAAATTGGCCGTGAGATGAAACTGGAATCTTTTTTTGGACTGCGTTTTGCAGCCAGCTTCTGTTTTGATATTGCTGCTGATGCTGCTCCTCTTCGTCTTGTTCTTCTTGTTGTTGTATCGAGTGCGCTCACAGCTGCTTGTGTGTTTGTATTGGTATTTTTTTTATGCTGCCGTTGGTTTTATAAATCCTTTTGTTTCGCTGCTGCTGCTGCTGCTGTTTTTTGGCGCGCAATTTTCGTTGTTGTTTGTTTTGATATTGTTGCCGTCGTTGATCGACTTGTTATTATTATTATTATCGCTGTCATTTACATATCACGTTTTGCTGCTTGCCTAATACAAACACAGTAAGAACAAACAACAAACAAAACACACACACTGACAAACACAAGAAATCTCCCAAAAGGAAGCAGAGTTTGTTTTTACTTTTTTTGTCTTCTTTTCGCCTATTGCACTCTTGCAATTAACTAACCAAATAACAAACAGTTTGTCGACTTTTTCCTAAACTCATTCAAATCTGAATCTGAAGCAAATGTTTTTGTTTTTTTATTATTGTGACTGGGGCTCCGACTCCGAGCGACGGCGACGCGTTGGCGACAATCTAGCGACAACGAAAAATTAACGTCCGTCTCGTTTGCACGTTTTCAACGAACTGAGCGACGAACGGCATCGGCAAAAACAATCAAAATATTCGGGAGAGTCCAAAGCGAAACAAGTAACAATGCGGCGGCTATTTGTGAGTCGATTCTATGATACTCTGTTTGCGGTATACATGCTATATAATAATGAACAAATTTCTATTTTAAAAGTTATCAATTTAATGTGAGGTTATTTTCGTTTACTTATTTAAACTTCAGTGAAGATTTCTTACTAGCATTTTGTTTTAAAGAAATAAAACATCAAATTTATTTAATATACACAAACTTAGCTAAATAACTTTTATTATAATTGTATTTTTATTTGATTTTACTATCCAGTTAATCGTAAATTAAATTTGATTTTACTCATAGATAAAGTCAACTCATTTCAAGGAATACCAATAATATACATGATCTGCATACCAACCTAAACGCAGTGTGACCAGATGCGTAAAGCGCTAAAATGCCAGAAAATACCAAACTCAGAACACAAAACTAAACACAACCCAAGGAAACACACACAGACTTTAAGTTTTTCGTTACCCAAAGTGATAATTAATATGCATTTTATTGTTTATGCGGCGGGCAGCGTACAAACAACAGCAGCGGACAGTGGTGAAAGCAAAAAGTGGAGCGAAATTCTTTTGGCCCGATTATAAGCCACACATACATATACAAAAATACACGAGAGTTTGTCTATGTGTGTGAATTGTTATTGTTTTAGCAAAAGGCTGCTGCTGATGACACAAAGGCTAAGGCAAAAACAGCTGACCTTACAAAAACAGCATCAACAACAAGAAGAATGCGACGCAACGAAGATGAGCAAAGGCTGCTGGAAGAGGAGCAGGAAGAACAAGCAGAGGATCAGAATTCGACCACTGCTGTTGATAACGGTAGTTTTGTGCCCGCGTTTTCACCACAGTACAGCCACGATAATGATGACGAACGATGCCTGCTGCACCAGGAGCAGGGGGACGAAGTAATCCAATTGACAAATGCACCCAATTCGGGCGCCTCGTTAACCTATTGTGTTTTCTATCTGCTCGGCATTGGCACAATGACACCATGGAATTTTTTTGTAACCGCCGAAGATGTGAGTATAAAGAGGAAGAAGTGTCCCCCACCCCTCCCCTCCTCTCCTTTCCCATCGCCCCATTTACAAGCTTTACAGTTGCATTGCTGTTTTATTTCTTATCTCCGTTTTGGCATTGTGTTTTTTATTATTCCTTTTTGGTTTTTGTTCTCGTTCCCATTTTTTTGTTGCTGTTGTTGTTATCGTCTTTAGTTGTGTTCTTTGTTTAATCTACTTTAAGGTTGACTCAGTGCACCCCTTCCTACACCCCCTTCCTAGCCCAACCCTTTTGTTGTTACCCCTTTGGACTTTAAGTGAACAATTAGAACAAAAAATCATAAAAAGTGTAGTGAAAACTATGCTTGAAAAACAATTACATTTTATTGTATTACAATTGAATGGTATTTAACAAAATTCCAGTATTGGCAATACAAATTCCGCAATACGACGCTGAATGGAACGCTGCCAGTGCTGGATGATGAGCAGCTGACGCCGCTGCAGAAGAGTTTCACATGTGATTTGGCGCTGTCCGCAACAATTTCGGGCACCACATTCCTGCTGCTAAATGCCGTCTACGGCCATCTGGTCACGCTGCGTGCCAAAATGCTGGGCACACTGGGCACGATACTGGTGCTCTTCGGAGTGACAACGGGATTCGTGGAAGTCAACACGGACCAGTGGCAGGAGCAGTTCTTTCTCATCACGCTCATCATTGTGGTGTTACTCAACAGTAAGATCTGTTGCAAGCTGCAAACTTCAATTCGATTTCAACTTATTATTTGTTTATTTATTTCAGTTTCGGCTGCCACCATGTCGGGCGCTTTGTATGGCGTCGCTGGTCTCTTTCCGTCGGAGTTTATGACTGCTGTGGTCAGTGGCCAGGCGCTTGGTGGCATTTTGACGGCACTCGCATTTCTTTTGGTGCTCGCCTTCGATGCGGGTCCCTCGGCAACCGCCTTTGTGTTCTTCGTTATGGGCGCCTTGCTGATCTGCGGCTGCATCGTTTGCTACCTGCTGGTGGCACGTCAGGCGTACTTTAAATATTATCTGGCTGGTGGCGACAAGTTCAAGGTGATCTGTGCCCAGCCAGCGCACAGTCGCAGCACGGTGGGCACGGATGAGGGTGTGCCACTCGAACCGTTGCTGTCCAAAGTGCTGGGCAAGATCTATTTGCAAGCCATTTGCCTCGTCCTGTTGTATGCCACAACGCTCTCGGTATATCCGTCTGTGACGATCCTAATGGAATCGGAGCACTCAGCCAGCCACACCCAGTGGACAGGTATATATCAATCTATATAAATATTGGGTTTATATTTGTAATAATAATTTGTGTGTTTTTTTGTTTAGATGTTTACTATATGCCTGTGGTGAATTATTTATTCTTCAATTGCGGCGACTATTTTGGCCGATTGTTTGCTGGTTGGTTGGAGGTGCCGCGGAATCAACAGACGACGCTGCTGCTCACCGTGGTGCGTGTTGTGTTCGTGCCCTGTTTCCTGTGCTCCAACAGTGGCGTGCATCAGTTTCTGCCCACGCTGGTGCAGCATGATTACACCTTTATGGCCATGATCGTTGCCTTTGCGCTCTCCAACGGTTATCTGACCAACATTCTGCTCATTATGGCGCCACGGTTTGTAGCTGAATCACAGCGAGCTACTCAATCGAGACTAATCCTTATTGTGTTATCCTTGCAGAAGCGTTGAGCAGCATGAGAAGGAGCTGGCTGCCTCCATAATGGCTGCCTCGTTGAGCGTGGGCATGGCCATCGGATCCCTAATCAGTCTGGCATTTGTGCAGATGTTGTGACAACATCCCCGCTCAATCCACCATCCTGCCAAACTGTCTCAATGGTGCCTTAGAACGCTTTGTTTTTTATACTTATTTGATACTTGATAGTTTTTACGAATTTGATTGTTAGACATATGTATTTTATACTATTTTTGAGATGTACACGTTTTTGAAGCATGCTCGAGTGTTGAGGAATATCTGTGAGATTTTCTGTAACATATCAAAAAGTGAAATTAATTTTGTGTAAGTTTTACTTGTCGGTTGTAAATTGATATAAATGTAAACGCAAAATAAATTGTAATTATTTGTAAGGTAATTCTGTTTGTTTAACGTTTATTTTGTAAGGTTTCTGCAGATCACAACAACAATGTGGATTAATTCGATTTAAATTTTGGGTTTTAATTCTTGTTTTATGTTATATGTTGACTCTTTTTTGTTTTCTTTTCTTTTTAACTAACGAACTCCATTGTAATTATGTATATTGCATTGACACTGACAGCTTTTGCACATTTAATTTGGAAATTACATTGATTTTCTCTTGAAATATTTTCGGATGTATTTCATTTATTTTATATGCCCTGTGTTTATTTGGTAAAACTGCATTTTAAATTCAAAAATTGTAGCCGCCAAACGCGTTGCCAACTGAAATGCATTGATCATCGATCAACCAGTTGGCAACGCTGTAGTTTCTCTCATCTGCTGCATTTGAGTGGGCTGCCATTTTGTTTTGTGCAGTTGCACTCGACTCCAATACGCATCAAACTGTTGGTTTTAGAGGCACAGGGCATTTGAATACATTAAATGCTATTTTGTTTTGGGTTTAACTTGAATGTATTTTAGTGCAGAATTGTAAAATGTGTAATGGATTTCTTTGCATTGGTTTTAACGGTATTCAACTCTGCATGACATTTAGATATCGATCCAAAATTGTTAACTCTTTAATTAATTTATCAATGGGTTCGGTTTGGTTCTAAACATTTAATTAGCTACGTATATTTTATTTATGTATGCTTTTAATACTTATATGCAACAACAAATTCGTTTCTTTGCTGTTTTTATTCTTATTCTTCCTCTCGTTTTTCTACTTCTTCTTCTTCTTTTTGGGCTTTTCGCTTGATATCCATTCAAAACATTCATTTACTTCTTTTTGTCTCCTTTCTCCTGGCCTAAATTTTGGTTTTTATTCATTTCATTTTTTTGGTGTTAAACACCGTTTTTGCTTTTTTGTTTTTTACTTTTCGTATGTATATTTATGGTTTTTGTTTTTGTTTTTGTCTACTAACTTATTTATTTTATGAAACGCACAACAACAAATACTGATTAAAGCCTGTCTTTAAAAGAAAATGGGCGTGGCAAACGCATGCATAATTTTATTTGATTTTTCTTTTTTAAATGAAAACGATTTTTAATAAGCGCTGCAACTACAACATTAATGTTAACAACAACAACAAACAACATCAACAACAACAACATCAACACACAGAGATACAGAATTATGTTATGCCTACGGACATTTTTCTTTTATTGTACATACAACACCAAAAAATCTATTTGATAAATAATTTTTGGGTATTTCTTGTAATTTCCAACTATTTGCTACTATTTGAATACTGGGGGCCAATTAGATTGTTACCAATTAGATTCTAACATACACACATATATGGAAATACTGAAGCCAATATTGCAATCGGATTTAATGGGTAAACATCGAGATATATATACATATATACACATATATATATATGTATATACATTGACACATATAGACACTTTTGACTATTATGCAAAACATCAACAACAACAACATAAAACACACACATCTATTTTCTTTTTTTCTTTTTAAATATTGTATTCACCTATTTGCATTCTTTTCGGGACTGTTTTTTGTCTTTTTTTATTAATTTTTTGCAAGGGTATTTTTGGAGTCGTATTGCTTGTCGTCGCTGTTTGTGGATTGCAACGACAAGTTTAGTTCTACATATTCAACACATACACAAATTACAACATCAATCAATTAGGCAAATGGGGGGGATTTTTTTGGGATTCTTCAAATTGGTCTACACGAGTTGAGTTTTGTCATTTGGGTTTTGAGTTGCTCGGAAAAGTATTTTAGTAGTAGGAAATTACAACATCTAAGGTGGTTTTGCCGTCCAGTGAAATGTTCTTTCAACTTGTTGAATGTTTTTTTCTTTGTTTTTTTTTTTGTTTTTTTTTACGTTTTTTTTCTTTTTTGATTTTGTTCTCATAACATGTTTGCATACATATATGTATATATGTATGTGTATATGTGGTAAAGAATTCTCGTTTGTAGTGTGCTGAAATTTTGGATTTCGTTACAAGGCAGCTTGGGTTTACCTAAAAAAAAACCATATTAAGGTTCGATCGATTTGATCAACAATTAAAACTTGTTCATATTTGATTGTCGCTAAATGCGCGCACAGCTCAAGCACAGTGCCACTCAAACTGTGCGCACGCCATTTTGTTATTTGGTGTTGTAGGTTGTGCGTCGTCTGTATGCGTGCGTGTGTGTGCCTGTGTGTGTGTTTGTTTGTGTTGGTGTTTGTGTGCGTGTGTGTGTGTGCGTTAGTTTAAAGAAAGTGCCGAATAGAAAAGTCAACCAAAAGAAAACAAATATAAATAAATAAACTAAGCAGTTCGACAGCGAATTTTTATTAGAGCCTTGTGTAAAAAACTAAACTAAAATTAGGTTTGTAATTTTAGTGACTATAACAAGCATAAATAAATTGATAAACAGCCAACCAATAATATAAAAATGGACTAAAATGTTGGCATAGATTTTGTGCTACTTCTTCTGCTTCTTCTTATTCATCTTCTATGCGCGAGATTCATTTCACATTTTGTGCGAGAGCATTTAACAAATATGTATAATATAAATGTAAATATATTCATATATGTATATGATGTATATAAATAATTAATGTAAAAGTAAATCTGATATAAAAAGTAATACACACAACCACATTTAATAGTAGAAATGGAGCACGTGACGAGGCCTACGAACAAAGAGAGAAAGAGAGGGAGAGCGAGCGAGCGGGAGAGTGAGACGAAGAGAGAGAGAGAGAGAGAGAGAGTGAAAGAAAGAGAGGGCGCTCTCATGCTCATTTTCTGATCTTTGCCTGCGTCACATAACCTCACAAATTGAGGCTTTTTGTTTTTGTTTTTTTGTTTTTTTCTTCCTTTTCTTCGTCTTCTTCATCGTTTTAGTTAAATAAATAATATAAGTGTATGCTTAAGGATTTAGACACTCAGAGTTTCAGCATAGTTCGAATAGGAAGAAACCGTTTAAAAGGTTCGGTCTAGAGATAGAATAGAATTATTGTTTAAGTATCTAATCGATAAACATATGAGTCATTCACATACATAATAAATACACCGACTGTTACAGTTACACAACATATAGACACCTTTGTATATATATATATATATATATATATATATACATATATATATATATATAGTACAGATATAGATATTCATGCGCTAGAGTACAGCTAGTTTGTTCAGTTAGAAAACGCATTTTCTTTCAATTACAATTACAGTTATTTAGATCTAGAAAACTAATCGCTACGAAGATTATTTCTGCATTTTATATTCTTTTTCTATTTTCTTTTGTTAGTTTTTGTTTTTGTTTTCGTTTCTTTTGCTCTTGTTTCCTTAACACAACTGTCGCAAATACTGAAAAACTGAAGACAACAACACGTCCTGTTTTTTACCGATCCTACTCCAAGTTTTGTATATTAATTTATTTTTTATCCTTTACGTCTTCATCTCCGCCGTAATGCTATTGTGCGACTTGGCTGGCGAGATGGCAAGTCCTGCACCGCCACCGACAGCACCACCGCAGGCACCACCATCCAAATTGAGTGAGAGATTATTGCCAGAGAGCGGTCGGGATGCGGGACAGCTGTGATGGTGCGGTGCATGGAAGAGCACCAGGAAGCCATTGTTGGAGACACAGCTGCGAGATTCAGCGTCCTTGTCGAGTATTTGACGGGCCTGTTGGGAAGAGAGGGCATTGTTTAAAAATGGCACAAGAGCGATTATTCAGATTTTTACTATGAGTATAAATAATCTGATTCGTTGCAGAATTCTATCCTGATATTTAAACTTATTATTGGAAAGCTCAGTTAAGATAAAATTATCAACAAAACAGTTGTTTTTATATAAAATAATATTTAGTAGAAGAATAGTAAAAGGACATGTTAGAAAGATAAGTGATGATGATCAACTAAATAGAATATATATTGAAATATATAATTGACCCACCCTGGAGCGATGTAAGTCGAGTTCGAAGCGCACCGCATCGTGATGCTTCTGCAGCTCATTCGTGCGGCTTTCGAAGGTCTGCTTGAGGCGCGTCCGTTCCGCGACGCCACGTTCCACCACAGAGCTGCGCACCTCGCGTTTCATTCTGTTGCAGGGTAAGGAAAGTATTTTGGTTTTTATGATGAATATGACTAGGTTGGCAGCGATGTTATTAACGCTTACCTGACCAGCTCGTCGCGATCCTTGTGCACCGCTGCGATCTTCTTGACCTCATTGCGTCGCGCCTCCTGCAACTGATGCATCACCTCACCGGCCTCCTTGTCCAGCGAAGCCTTCATCTGTTTCATTTGGCTCGCCTGCGAGTTCTTCAGCACCTTCTCGGCCGCTGTGTAGATGGCCTCATGGTACTTCTCCTGCAGGTCCCGATACTGTGTGGTATACTCCCGGCAGGCGTGGCGCAAACGGGAGCTGACTGATCCCTCCATGCTGCTGGATGCTGCCTCATCTGCGGCACCGGCGCTCTCCTCGCTGCTGTCGCCCAGATCGATGGGGCAGGCGGGCACTTCGACACCCGGCTCACTGTACGTAGAGAAACAATTACTAATTTTAATGGCGTCATTGGGAATCACGCACAACGTTGCCGCGCCGGGCACTTACAGGCTGCGGTTGCTCAGACGCTTCACCAGCTTGTTGGTGATGGTGAATTTGGGCTTCTTGCCGCCGTCGAGGGGACTCGACTTCTGGCCAGCGATCTTGAGCTTCTCCTTGTCGTGCTTCTTGCGCAACGATTCCAGTTTCTTTTCCATCTCTAGTCGTTTCTCGCGCACCGACTTGTGTTCGAGTATCTTGTCCAGCGGCTCGGCGAACACGCGATTCACATCGAACTGTGAGGTATCCACCTGTCTGAGCGATGTGCTGCCCGATGCATCCAACGAGCTTTCGTGCTGTAGAATGGCAATGCTGCTATCATCGTTCCGTTGTCCGTCCGTGCGATCTGACGGCAGATCCACACTGATGGTGGCCTGTACGGAGATGCTTGGACGTGGCTTGGGCGATGTGGTTTGCGGCACCGGAATTAGCTCCTTCTTTTGGTGACCTACTTTAACGAAAACGACTGTAGAATCAGAGACAATCGGGCAGAAAGCAGATAGGGACAGCGAGCGAGAGACAGAGAGAGAGAGAGAGAGAGAGCGGAGAGAGCGAGAGAGATCGAGCGAGTAAAAGTGGAATTGGGAAGAGGGTTTCGGGGGGTTTTCGGGGTTTCGGGGGTTTTTCAGGGTTTTTTTTTTTTTTTTTTGGTGCAGTTTGTGTGTCCGTTAACCGTTTTGTGTGGTGGTGGTTTTTGGTGGTGTTGGTTGTGTGGTGGTGTTGGTTGTTTTATTTTTATTTATTTTTTTGGGGAAGGAGGTGCGTGTGCGTTTAACCAAATCCAAAATCCAAAAGTTTAACCGAAAGTTTACATTTGAACATACAAAAGAAAAGTAGAAAGAAAAGAAAGTAAAATTAAAACGCAACTCGAATGCTACAGAGGTACTTCATCATCATCATCGTGCTGCTTAGAGCAGGGTCTTTCTTCCAACTGGTCGATGGACAAGAGCAACTTACATGACTTGGTCAGATCGTCATCGGCATTTGCGACGGCATCCGTACCATCCGTCAGCACCGACAGCTGCATTCCGCGCTTCTCCTGCTCGCTCTGGTATTTGATGGGATTGGCGAGAGCCTCGGCGAAATTGGATAGATCGTCGGGCACATAGTCCTTGACGACGACGCACAGGAAGAGCGAGGCGAGCGCAATCGGCTGACCCACCTCGGAGCGGAGATTCACATGACGATAGCCGGGACAGAGACCAATCACGGGCAGCACCCGATGCCCGATCAGCTTGCCACCCTCCTCATAAGCAGCGATCCGCATGCTCGCCAGCTCCGGCAGCACCACCTTCTTGAAGACGAACGGCTCCTCGTCGTAGACGGGATTCATGCCATTGTCACGCACAGTCTTGGTGCGAAACTTCTTGCGCACCGTATCCGCCGGCAGGCCAAACATGTCCACCTCGACAAAGGTGTTCACGCGCTTATCGGTGAGGAATTGCCCGGATAATACGGTAATCGAAACGGTGCCGGCAATAATGCCATCCACGGTGCTCTCGGCAAATGGATCGAGGCGACGATCGGAGCGTCGCATGAACTCCGGCTTCAACAAATAACCGGAGCGGGCGTTGTACTCAAAGATGCCCAGATTCAGTTGCATGGCCAGATCGAGGGTCTGAAAGTTCAGTGCCACCAGCTGACAGCCGGCATTCCAGAACACCTGCGGCATAAAATTGGAGCTATCGAATCGAGTGCCAGCCGGATAAACTCTCGACAACTGATGCTTGTTGTAGTTGACGAACTCAATCGGTCGATCCTTGAGCAGTGTCATCGCCTGCTTCTCATCGAACGAGGACATCTCATAGCAGCGGCCCTTCTCTGTGTCGCAATTGAGTTGGATGTGGACATGAGTTAGTATCTTAATGGATGCAGTGCAGTTTGCTGGTACTTACTCTCCGCTGACTCAAAGGAGCTAAAGTGTATGGGTTGCACATAGTTGACTAACGCTGAGATCTCTGCACCCGCCTCCGTTTCCTTTTGCGCCTTATCCGGTTGTGGTTCATTGCCACTGGGCAGACTGGGTGTTGTATTGGGCAGGGATTCATCTTCGCTCGAACTGTCCGAGTCGGAGGAGCCGGTGCTATCCTTTGAGCTCTGACGTATTTGCTACAAAATTGAACACAATCAAAGATATTGGAATTATGCCATCATTTGCAATGGTCTTAATCGGTTTTTTAATCCCTAAGAAACTTTTTTAAATTAGATTTCTCGGAATTAAATTGTCTAATTTCAGAAACTTTTTATATTAAAGGCATTTGCTATGCAACAACAAAAGTGGTGGCCAAAATGTATTCAACTCCACCGGGAATAATTGGCCACACTGAAAGAATTTGCAAGACGGAGCCAAGGCTAAAAACGTCTAGACAAATAAATCAAATCGCCAGCAATTATTTTTAAATATTAGAAACGCAAAAGACGCTTTCCAAAATGTGTATAAATGTGCATATCTATAATGAAATCATTTTGTAAGTGACTAGACTGATAAAGATACAAAAAATAGTTTTTTATAAATATTCGTAAATATATTTATGAAGATTTAAAGATTTTTATAAATTAATCAAACTGTTAAATTGGCCAGAAAAGTCACTTATTGAACATATTCAAATTAATGGCAGAAGTTGCTCAAACTTGAAGTTAAACAAAAGTTTAACAATAATTCAAATTGATGGACTGCTTTATCAATAACAAGAATTAAAAAATGCATATCAGCTCAATAATTCATGAAAACATGATTGTGTGTGGGCATTTATAAATATATACATTATTTATAGATTACAGCTACAAAAATGACAGACATAATGCGACATGTTGCATGTTTTTATACAATTTAATAGCCACGGTCGGTCACGGGCTCGATATTGGCGCAGCTGCCAATATACGAAAGCTTTTTATAATTTTCTGTTGTTATCGCTGCAACAGATCCGACAGGCGAACATCTGGACAGCTGGACGGACGGGCGAAAGTCAATGGGGTCGGTGTCAATAGTGCAAGCAGCACACAATGCATAATGGCAAGAAAATGGCGTAGATTGTGTTGCACAGGGGGGGGGGGGGGGTGGTGGGGGGGTTGCAGTGGGCGGGGCTGGAGGCTGGCTTACAATGGAGTCCATGTGGCTATTGTATTATGCATGGCTGACACGAAGTTCACTCACAACAATCTCTCATAGTCGCTTCCCCTCCCATTTCCCATCTCCCATTTCCCTTTGGCTCTTAGCCATTATGCATTATCCATTATCCATTATCCATTGCCCGTTTCTGTAGTCTCCATTTTCCAGTTTGTATCTCATTTCGCTTGCAGTGCAAAATATTATAGACATCTGAATATGTAGTTCTGTCAAATTCAAGCTTAATCAGTCAAAAACTATAATGCGAACAGTGCTGCTCAAACTGTAGACCCTTATTGCTGTTGTGGCGGATTTGTTTGGCCAAAATTAGGCAAACTCGAAAACTGGTCGACGTTTTGCATGACTCATGGTTTTCCTGATTCATGGTTTCCCCCCAAAATCATGCTGTTCGCTCCAATAGTCAAATGTGCAATTAAATTTATATGCAGTCTGCTCTTGTTGCCTACGCAGCAGCCATTTAACCATGGCACTGGTCAAAAGGATATATGTATGGAGGCAATTATGAGGCTGATGATGACATGAATGCTATGAAAACGACCTCAAATGTGGCAGAAGCTCATCAGACATTTCGAGGAATTTATTTGAATGTGAGTCGAGTTTCATTCGCAGTTAATTGTGGAATTATAAACCAACTGAATTAGAACATGTTGTGTTGAGAATTACCGAAAGTGAAGAATTAAGTTAAGTCTATACGAATGGTGATTGTCAGGCACACTCTAAATAAGCAGCTGTCAATTTCACAAGCACATTTACTCAGCAACAACCAACACACTCATCTAAATTCAAATTTGAATTGAAATTCGTTTGATTATTCGGATATTACTAATATCTGTTTAGGCTGTTTCCTTATCATAGCCTAGAGTAGCGGTAAAGCAACATTTAAATTTGTCAAGTTTAAATAAAAATATGTTAACTATTGTATACATAATTGTATACATAATAAATGTATTCGAATTCATCTATTTAATCTGTTAGTTGAGCTGGCAACCGTACTAAAAAAATACGCAATCATCTCTCTGCTTAGATCACCATATCGCAGAGGATAAATTAAAGATAGTTTTAATCGGTAATCAGGAACAGCAAGTCACGATGCTTAACATTATTATCGTCCTGAATTGTAAAGGAAACCCTTTTTATTGTTCTGGTTTACGTCTGGTTGACTGTCGCTGGTCGTCGACCAGTTTTTCAATTCATCCATTTATCCAGCATTTCATGCATATGTGTGTATTGTGTGGGTATTTGCATTTATATTCATAAGTGTGACTGTGTGTATGTGTGTGTATGTGTGTGTGTGTGTGTGAGTGTGTTATCATTACGACGTATGTAAACGCAGAGCGTAAACACAGCAATGTCGACAATCAACACCAAAAACAACAACTGAAATGCCTCCATTCCGTTTGCTTGTTGAATTGGGGACGTAGGGGTTGCGGGAGCGGGGGTTGGGTGGGGGTGGGGTTTGTCTAGGGGCAGACAAACAATGCGACAACAAATCAACCGATTCCTGCTGAGTCGAGTGCCACCAAACATCACATATAGTGGGATGTCTGTGTCTGTGTCTGTGTGTGTGCTGCCATTAAATGCAATTACAGGCATGCCAATGCCACGCCCACACACATACACACATTTACCCTTATGCATTAAACATATATATATGTTTATATATATTTACATATATATATATATTAAGCATATAGCAATACTTACTTGCAACGGCGGCGCATGTCCTCCGCTAACAATGTCACCATTTGCGGCGCCTGTCATTGTGCGTCCTGCTGCTGCCGCCCCAGCTCCTGCTTCGTCTTGCGCTGCGGCAGCCACTTGTTGCGCATTGGCAGCTGCTGCAGCCTTCGCCGCCGCATCCACTGCGGAATAAAAGAAAACATTTATTGAATAAAATGCAGATATGCAACACAACAATAAAGTCAAATGAGAATGTTTGAGTTGTGGAGTCTGCTCAAAGTTCAGATTCCCTGTTCGTCTCTCAGCCTTGAAGCTGGCTTGATTAACATTTTGAGTCGGGCTGTTTCAAGCACTATACCATATAGCTGCTAAGGGAATGGACTACTATATCCTTTAGCACACATGAGAAGAATCATCGATGGAAAGATAAGTTATTGCATAGAAAGTTTATTAGAGGCATTTTAGTAATTCGCACTTAATTTTATTCTGGATGATAGATGATTGTTAGAGAGATGAGTAGATTGATTTATGGATAGATGGATGAATAGATAGAAAGAGTGTGTGTTTGAATAGATGGATCTATTAAAGTAGATAGATAGATATTAAATGAAAGTTGAAAGACGTGAATTTTAAACAAGACATTCTGTTATAAGCAATGAAATAGTGTCAAAAGGATAATAAAATAATGTTAGGAACATTCGAATGTTTGTTATTATTGCATATAATATGTGCCTTGCAAAACGCTTTTATGTTCACCAAGGCGAAAGAAAGTCTTTCAAATCCCCAGGCGAAACACTTTTTCATCGTGCCAAAGAAAATGATTGTAGATATTTGCATTATAAAGGAATGACGATAAAATAGTGATATCATCAAACGAAGAATAAATTTTAAGGACCTACAGCCAGCTTAATATGTACATATTTATAATTCTAAGCATATTTAAGCCAACCCAAACAGCTATCTCTACTACCCATTCTATATCAATTTGTGTACAACAAAAAAATGGTATAAAATATGTATGTCCATTTACTATAAAGTTTTTGAGACATAAAAAAAAGATACCCCGTTAAAGAATTGCTGCTCCCATTATATAATATGCATGGGGATAATAAAAAAAAATTAATCGCATTAAGTACGCGAACAAAGTTAAAAAAATGGATGCCAAGAGACGCTGGCAGTGCCAATTGGCCAATTGCGCTGGGATTAGTTTGAGAAACTGTTGCCGAGCGGAGGAGGAGGAGAAGCGCGTGACGCGTCTGGGGAACAAATATGACTTTTAGACATACAGTGTATAATACATATGTATATTCACTAGCCAACTATGTAGTATTTGCAGCAATGCTGGTGCTCAGCTGGGAACCAAGTTTCTTCCCAGTTGATTGCAGCGACGCCAAGCGACTGTTACTCTGACGGCGACGTCGACCGAGACTGCAGCCAGTGGCAAAAGTCATTTGCATTTATAAATTGGCTTTTTGCAATTCATGAGCAAAATGTCAACGTGCACGGGCAGTGGGTGAAGGAGCGAGCAGAGCAAAGTGACGCAAAATGGCGTTGAGTGTCAGCCATGGGTAAATTGTGCAGTTGTGCATGGAAATGGATCCTACAGGACTCGCAGTAGCAGTCTGTGGCCCATTAGCCAGCGGGACGGCTGGCAGACAACTAAACACATTTATATGCTAAATACTAATAAAACTTTATACGAGTGCAGAGCAAACGAATCGAACCGAAACCAAAAAGCAGTCAGCCAAACGAAATGTTCTCTTTAAGAGTTCCACACAACATATGGCCATTCGAGTTGAGTCGATGATATTGATTTTATCTAAATAATCAACTCAATGGCTAACCGAAATGCATAATTCCAGTCATAATGACAGGATTGTATACTTTAGACCAACCAAGAGCCATTTCTATGCCGAACACAAATATCCATTGATGCAGAGATTATTATAATTTTTGACTCTATTATGTATTTATGTACATGTTACAACTACTTTCGTAAACCAAGCACAGACGAATAAAGGAAACAAAGAAATCCAAGGAGTACGCATTTGGAAAGAGAACAGAAAATATATATATATACATATATAATAGTTGTTAACCATATCCCATCATATCTCATCAGCATCAACATCTCGAAGAGGCTTAATGAAGGATTAGACAACAGCCAAGATGAATGCGATGTTGACAGTTAATCAGCAGCTGATTTAAACAATCTAAATTGACACGCGTAATAAAAATACTCAAACTGAGTTAAATTAATGAACAAAACGAACGCACAAAGTTTACACAATCTTAGATCGCTATCATCATCGTCATCAAACTACAAAGTGAGCGTTAAAGTTATTGTTGTCGAAGGTGCAATAAAATGAATTTATTTGTAGAGAAAAAGGGAATGAAATTCAAAGAAAGGATGAGCTTTCATTCATGTTATTGCTTTTCTTGTGCAACTTGTTGTTCCTTTACACTTTCAGTATAAATAGTTTGTTGAGTTGTATTTTCACTTTTTTCTGTGAAACAAAGAAAAAGTGATTGCATTCGTTGGTTCTCTTAAATTGAAATAAGAACAACGTTCTACTCTGAGCAACTTAGAGAAATAAATTTGATATTTCAGTTTATTATATTTTTAGATTCTATTTAATTATGTGAACACATTTCAATTCTTGTTTTATATATGGTTTATCTGCTGTATGAATCGGCCTTGTGCTGTAGCCATTGTCTTTGGCCGAGGCGCTACACTTCCTTCGCTTTGAATATAGTTGGGGAAATGAGTTAAAAAGTCGTTGCTTACAGAAAGTAGAAGGACGAGCTTATTTGCAATTAGATGGCAGCGAGGGGCACTGCAACAGCAGCGCGGCATAAGAGTTATGGCTGCAACAACAACAGCAGCAACAACAATGCCAACATTACGCATTACACATTACGCATTATGTATACGACATGTGGCATTCGAAATGAAATCACCCAAAAAGACAAGGCATATTTGTTGTTTGTGGGCTTACCTGAGTTTGCCGATGTGAGTTTATTGCCGGCAGCTGGTGTGCCCAATGCCGATGGTTTCTTGTGATGATGGTGATGATGATGATGATGCTTCTTCTTGTTCTTGATAATGATCTTGCGCCGCAGCATCGATGGTGGCGGCAAGTCCGCATTTGGCTCCAGCGGATGCGAATCGAGCGGTTTGTCCAACAGCATATCGCCAAAGATTTCGCGGCAATAGTTGGCAATCTTTGCCTGAAAAAACCAACAATAAAAAACACGAAAAATTGCAACATTTTACTAACTGGCGGCTAACTGAAATTTGATGAGTTAATACCCCAACCGCTTCCTTCGACACAACTAGCCCGCAGACAGCAAAGTTCCCTTGCAACTTTCATATAAGTAAGCAAGCACGTGGGCAGTCTGTCTGCCCGTCTGCCTCTCTGCCTGTCTGCGTTTGTGTGTGTTAGTTTTACCTGCTCCCCATGGTAAATTTAGTTTATGTAACTACTTTTAATGGTTAAACTTTAGCCAGATGCCTACTCTGCCCCCACTTACATCACCCCCCTCTTGCCACACGTTTGATGCTACTGTAAAAAAAAGTTTGCTTTTGTTATTATCTCGTGGAGCTAAAGCATCAGGCAATTACCTTTCGAGTAGCTTCCGAGATTTACCCAACCACAGCCGCTACTTGTCCATATTTGAGCTGGGGTCTGCGAGTGCTGGTTGTGGGAGTGTGTGTGGGAGTGTGTGTGTGTGTGTGTGTATTGTGGCAGGAAGATAAGGTAGGCAGCAACTTTCGACTCCCATTGGAATGGGATGCACACGTGCACGTGTAAGTTGCCATGTTTGCTTCCTGACGTATTGTTTGAGCGAGAGCTGAGAGCGGAACATTGCTACAGATGGGTGCGTGTTTTCAAATTCCCAATGTATAACAAAAATTACAACACGATATGGAAAACTGACGTTGCTGACTCTATTTTAATTCGTATAACATTGTGTTATATCCATTACAGTGGTTTTGAGTCGTGATTGAGCCTGCTTGAACGATTTAGGTTAGGTTTAGTGTTGAGTTGAATTGTGCTGAGCTGAGTTGGGTCAAAGCGTAGAAATAGGGTTTGTAGAGATTTAAGTCGTAAGTTATTTTGCATTGATTTAAGCCGTGATTAGTGTACTTAAAGTCATATACGATTGTGTTGTCCTGATTCAATTTGTCCCGTTTAAAGTCGTGTTTGCTCCTTCTATCCATATCCATAAGGCATTTTGGGTTGATTTAGCTTGTGCTGAGTCTGTATTGCTTTAGTTCGTCTGGTTTTAACTCATTTTGAGCTGATTTAAGTCATGATTAAGTTTTAAGTATCTTGTTTAAAGTCGTGTTTGCTGGTTTTTTTTTTGGGTTCATTCTGTTTTGTAGCTTTTTTTGCATTGGCAGGCTCAACACCAACCAACCACCCGCATAGGCGACCTACTTGTCAGTTTATATCACGTAGACACGCCCGCACACGATTCAACAATGGGTGTTTGAGTTGGCTTTTGGCTACTATTAGTTTAGGACAAGTTACTTTCTGGCAGGCTGCAGTCGAGATGCGGGCTCAAACTTAATTCAATGGCTGCTGGGCTTTCTCAAATATTTGTATTTGGCTGTTGGACTTACTCACCTGTTGCCGGGGATTGCAGTGATTCTCGAAACTCAATATCACAGGGTATTCGGATGTTTTAAATGCGCACTCCGCGATTGCCTCGAGCACGTCCTTGGCAAAGATTTCGGGCACAAATGTGTAGCCATGGACAATGACCGGCTCCTCGGTGCGTCCATTCCAAAAGTCCAGTTCGACGCATCTGCATCGCAAGAACAAGAAGAAGATGAAGAAGATGCAGGAGATGGAAAACAATTGCTTTGATAAGTACATGACTTATCAAAGTGTAACAACGCAAGTGCGGCGATAAAATTAACTGACGCAAATCAACAAAATGGCGACGCATAAAAAAGTGTTTATCAGTCAATGCGGACAAAGCCAGCAGCACAATAACAATAATAGTGGCAACGTTCACCATGTCCTTGGCAGCAGCAACAACATTTGCGTCAATAAATTTTCTGATGTGTGGCATCATCAACGCCAGCAGCGATGGTGACGGCGACGGCGACTGCGACTGCGACTGCGACTGTGGCAGCAACATGATGTTGATGATGGCGGCGGCAATAAAAATGGCGACCATGCAATTTCCGTTGTACTAAAAACCAACGCAGCGGCAAACATGCATACACACAAACCCACACACATACACACCTGAAACTTTTGCAAGTGTGTGTATTAAATAAAGGCCACCGCACACACACACAAACTCAGACACACACACACAAGCACACACACAAATTAATAGCAGAACTGCAACAAGGTCACGGCCAGCATCCAAAAATATATGAAACTGACCACACACACACAAACACACATACACACACACACACAAACACACAAACACACACACACACACGCACACACACACACTCACACACACATAAGCAAACTGCGTAATTAAAATCGCCTACCACGTGGCTCTCAGTAATAGTATCTCTACACCCGCACAACACTCACCTGCAGCCAGCGAGCAGGCATTGCCTGTATATCTCCACGGAGGATTTGCCCGTTATCTGATGGCCCGTTAGGTAGGTGTTATGCGATGAGTTGATGAAGTAGTGCGACATCGGATGATCCATATCATCGCAGAGATCAAGCTTATTGGGCGCCATTATTGGATTATCATCGCCCATGAGATACCTAAAATAGAACGCAAAGTATAATCGTATAATAACTGCAGTTGATTTAAAGTGCCATCTGCTGGTGAGCTTAAATGTATTTCCCAAGAGTTATGAGCACTTCAAGCTAAAGTGCAACTGGCCAGTAAAATTTATTATAAATAAAAAAATTAATTTACTAAAAAAAGTGGTAAATTTATTACTCTATGCAGTGATGCCTAAAAGTTTTCCTAAGTCAACATCTCTATAAAAGCACTCTTGGTAAAAGCCAATAATAATTTTAATTTATGATCTTAAATATAAAAAAAATATAAAAATTTTGTGACCTTGTCAAACTGTATTTTTAAAGCGCAAGAAACTAGCAAAGTACTTTGACATTGTTGTAATGCCAACAATGATAACTTTGCATAGGATTTCAAAGATAAAGTGCGTCTCGAAGTTTTCACTAAAGAAGATTTAATATTTTAATGAGCTTAGCGACAAGAATTGGCATACGATTTCGCTAGCTGAGAGCATTCATGCGTTTTCCTATCTGCTTTTATCATTTATTTTCGCTCAAACAAGCCAATCTATGCCTCGCAACTGATGTGGCAGCACTCGTTGCACATTTTGCACATTATTCGCTTTTTTATTTGCATATGTTGCATATGTGTTGTATGTGAAGGACACAATGGGTGGCGTCTCTGCCTGAGCGTCAGCAACAGTGAAGTGTGCGGCTGACTAAAGGACTGGTTGCTGTTGTTGCTGCTGCTGTTGATGATGTCGTCTTAGCACTCGCGAGCGCTGCTCATCTGTGCCTGGCTTGGAGTGCAGTCAAGTGACTCTAACAGCACGCTAAGCTGTCAGGCTCAGGCGCCGTGTCTGAGTGTCTAACTAATTTTTTTTTTTTAAATTTCCTTTTTGCAACAGATTTTGGAGGAAGGCAAAAAAAAAACTTACCTTAAAAAGCCATCCAAACTGAGTTGGCCCTTTTGTGCGTTGAATTTGTTGGGCTCGTATTGCTGGATGAGCTCCTTGGCGCGCGCCGGATTCGCATAGGGATAGAGTATCTCATTAAGACGCGGATCGCGTTGCGTCTTGTTCAGAAATTCCACCAGCTGCGCTATGGACATGCACTTGCGCTTCGAGTTACCCACGCTTCAAGTGTTAAAATTGGAATGAGGTGGATAAAGAGGATTAGCTTTGGCAAATTGCAATTGAATTGATTGGGTAGCTGGCTGGCTGCCTGGCTGGCTGGCTGGCTGACACTCACATGCTATCGAATAAGCGCTCCACCTCGGAACGCTGCGTCAGATATTTGTACAAATTGTAAAAGTCCTCAAATTGAAATTTCGACACCGATATGCTATCGACTTTGCCCGATGGCAAGCCGGTCACGTCCAGCGCCTTCTCCACACGTTTCCGATCCTCTTTATTTTGTGCAAAAAGTTTAATGATGCTAAAGTGGTCACGACCAGCAACACGACAACAGAAGGATTTCCAAAAGAGGAATGGTTGGAATGGGGCGACGGGAGTTTCGTTGTCCGGCCAGACAATGTGGTTCGTGTTGATGATGTTGTCGTCGTCGTCGTCGTCAGTGATGCATGAGCCACGTTCCAGCCATATTGAATTGTTGCGTTCGGTTGGCAGACAGTGGCAAACAAACAGCGATAGAGAAATATAGGGGAAGAGTGCCGGGGGGAGGAAGAAATGCGAAAGGGAAATTGGCGTAAATTTCAATTTGCTAGGCAACACTTAACAAATATTGTCAAATGCTTCAATACACAATGCACAAAAGCCAAAAACTAAAAACTATAAACCACAACCACAATCCTTCTTCAACTCTGAATCCCCAGCGGGGGGTCAGTCAGAAATGGGGGTGAGTTTGGGGTTTGGACTAGAATGCTACAATGGCAATTACTTTTTCACTGGTATGCGTCCGCTTTTGTCCACCTGCAGACAGAGTTTTGTGTGAGCCTTCAACAGAAACATATTCGCCGAGCCATTTAGCTGGGACAGACTGTAGGCCAGTTTGATGAGGCCATCCGACCAGATCTGCAAGTAGACAATGCAAAGCCAAATGTTAGAAGGTCATCGCAGAGGTTATAGAGACAACACAGAGAGCAACGTTTTTGGGTGCGTAACATGAGATTTGCAAATAAAACACATGAGATTTCCAAATTTCCCTGCCCAGCCCCAAGAAATTTTGGCAATGAGAGATTGCCTGAGATTGATGTCAATGTCAATGTTATACGATTATAATTGAATTTTCGAAGAGAATTGGCTACGGGCAACATTAAATTGATATATTATAAGAAAAACGAAAGAGGGCTGGATATTTGATATATTCAAAAACTTTAGCATAAGGCCAAAAAGTTTAAAGATTTATTAGTTGGCTTATGGGGGATGAGAAGGGAAAATGAAATGTGAAAAGAAACATTTGAGAACTTGAATATAGGAGTCGGACTTGATATAAAAGAACAACGAGTATAAAGTTCTTTTGCTTGAATTCAATTCCATTGAATTTGCGGTGTGAGAAAGGTCAGCAAAGTTTGGAAACTACCCTAAATTGTGATTTTTTGTTGGGTTTTACATGAGATTCGAGCGAAAATCATGTTTCCAATTTGAAATATACTTTTATACTGGAGGTCAAACCATAAGCAGAAGTCCTGGGTTCGGAAAATCGGGTCACTTTCAACAAATCAGAGTATTCTCTATTGTTAAGATAAGCGTTTAGTGAATAATCTTTACTTTTTGATGCAAAATTTGTAAGTCAATCTTAAGCGAAAATCTCGTGTTTCCTCTGTGTGGGAAAGCTACCATTTAATAGTCAAAAATAGTAAAATTCCTTTAAGAGGTGATTAAGATTTATGTAAGTATAAACGAATATCGTATTATCGATTGGATAAAGAGACAGACCCCTCTATATGTCGGAGTTTAATTGCATTTGCCAACAGACGAGTCTACAAAGCGCTGCTTTTGTTTTTGTTTGTTTTTGCGACTATTCAAGCAAATCTTTCTCTTTTGTGCATACATTTTGGGCAACATGTATGTCGAAAGCAGCATGTTTATTTATTTAGTGCGGATTATATTTTTGTGCCCCGAAATTCCGTAAAAGTTTATGAAATGTTGGCATTCGATTTTGTTTATAGAATCGTTTGCGACGCGTGCCAAAAATAATAACAATAATATGAATGCACGCACATGCCACAACATCAGCTTTCGTCCGTGTCCGTGTCCGTGTCCATGTCCGTGTCCGTGTCCGGCTCTGACTGTATTCCCGGATAGACGCGCCCGTGATAAAATATAGAACATTGATTTTGACCAGCCAGCAGCAGAATGCTGTTCGCGCTAACAAGAGCAAGGTCACCTCTGTGCGAGGCGTGGCATTATGAAGGGGGCAGATGGACACGGAGACGGTCATGGTGACGGAGGGTTTGGGGCAGGGGGTGGTCGGATTGAATATGAACAGCGATTCTGAAACGTATTGGGATTGTGTCCAATCAGACAGGGAAAAGGCGTGGCACCCCAGCCCACATGTTAAATCAATAAAATGTGTTCGACAGTCACTTATATTTTTACGCGCATTCGGCAAACGGTTAAAAATAGCCCCAGCCTGCCCACGGGGTACAGGTGTGTCCCAAAATGATCCTAATGACTGATACGTAAGTATGTGTATGTGTGTGTGTGTGAGTGTGAGTGTGTGAGTGTGTGTGTTAGTGTGTGTGTGTGTGTGAGTGTGTGATGGTATGTGTAGAGGTCATAATCGAGCGTGTTTCGCATTCCGCAAGCTCTTCAAATGTGTCAAATTTGGATTATAATCGTTAACATTTCCGATTAAAATGTTTTTGTTTTTTATTTCTTATCACAACTGATTCTTTTTAGTCACAAAAATCTTAGAAAAACGCCAAATCTTATCGGATTGAAATCCCAAAAATTATTAGTTAATTAAATTAGGTTGTAAATTTAACATTAATTTTTACTTATTCGCTGATTTGTAACAAGAAATGAATTTGTCAACCTTTGATTTTTTTTAATAAATACTAAAATGGATATTTTGAAAATAATTTCAAATGTTTTTATTCCACAATCTAAAAACTCATTCAATTGAAAAAATAAATATAAATAGATTGCAGCTGATATTAATTGAATAGTATTTTTGGATTATGCGCTGATTTGGCAAACTTAATATAAACTAATTAAATAAAAGTGAGAAAAATATTACATTTTATATTTTTGGCGACTTTGAAAAGCCTTCAAATTGCGTACGAAATTCAGATGCGGAATATGCCTGTGCTTATTAGCAGTTTCGCGCCCGCGACCCACTTCCGAATTCACAAATGAGTTTTCATGTGTATGTATTATGTGTGTGTGTGTGTGTGTGCTCGTGTGTGACCCAGTTTTTGGGTTGCAAATAGCTTTTGATGCCCCTTCAATGCTCGCATTTCAATTGTCGTCAAGTTGTCAATTGGCCATAATGAGCAGCTGTTGGCTGTTGGCTGTTGGAATGCTGCCAGGAACGCGCAACACCAGCAACACTCTTCGGCCAGCACCAAACTTGTCCCTTGAGCGGCTACCCCTTTTTCAACATACCTGGGCAATGTCCCGTCGTGTGCAGCAGAAGTTGACAAATGTCATGTTGACAAAATCAGAGCCATAGCAAATGGTGACGGTCTTCTCCTCCAGTGTATCCTGCGGTCCCATTGTCACAATCTGGCGCAGCTTAGCGTCCTGCAAATACAGACAGAGCCAAACAAGCAATGAGTATTATTAATTACCAGGCATAAAGCACACGCCAAAATGAAGTTTTATGGCCAGTGATAGTACCACTGTGTGTACTCGTAAATCGAAGCCATATCCTTAGCCCTAATCCACTGAATGTGCCGACAAAGCTCATTTGGCTGCTCGTAACTCAGATAACTGGACAGCAAAACGCGTGCACAACTGGACTACTCTAGGGCGCCATATTTCAATTAAATGCCACAAAATGGATTTACACGGGGTGCGGAATGGGCGGCCCACAATGGGCACTCCCAGCAAATCAACTGTTATAACACAGCCAACGTGACCGAGGCAACCTCAAGAGTCTATATGTATGTAATAAACTGCTGTCTCAAAATGATATGTTGACAAATATTTAATACACTCGGCAACATATTTAATTAAATGGTTGGGGTTCTTAATAAAATCTTTAATATAATCCTGACAGCGTGTGCGAAGCTTTATTAAATATTGTGTACTATTTTGTTATTATATTTCAGTAATTATTTTTTAAATTTTCGTTAAAGTTTCTGTAAACGTGAACACATTTTTTAAATTTTACATATTAACATTGATTGCGTAAAACTGGCATAATAAATATTTAAATTAACAAAAAGTAACTGACATGGTTAAACTTGGGATAAGCTTCGTTTGTAATTCTCATCCACAATGTATATATTTGCATAAAAACACAGCAGACAATTTTGCGTGAAAATCTAGATAGGCTATGAAGGGTGTAAGGAACACAACTGGGTTAAATGCAAATATACCCGTTTGCCAGATAATCACACATCATGTTTAAAAAAAAACTTTAAAAGGGACAAGCGACAGTTTGGCGAGACAAGCGAGGGTATTAGTTTTGGCTTTGTTGTCAAGTTACCAGCTTCCATTGTCCGACATTCTTGGCGCGGACTGAGCGGCAGTTGCACAGACTGAGTGGCAGTTGCACCGACAGAGTGCCAGTTGCCGTGGCAATGAAAGTGCCAGTGGCAGTGGCAGAGGCAGTTGCTGTGACACTGCTTGCCAGTCTCGTATCTACTGCAAAACTATGGACTATATTGTTGCCAACCCTGCTGGGCGTTTAATGGCAAATCCAAAATCACCTTCAGGATTATCAGCGTCTTTTAAAATGCATGACTCAAACATGAACACGAACACACACAGAAAATGCCTGGAGGGGGGTTTGGGGCATGAGCAGCATGAATTTGGCATTAGTTTTGAGGCGAGTCATGTCTTGATATTTTCAGTAAGCCGTGAGCCAAGCTGTGTGTGTTTTGTCGTCAGCTCTCCTGTCGTGGCTGGCAACTTGGGGACATTTGACAAACTGCTGGATAACTACAGACAAATGTCCTTGGCAAAAACATGTACTACGTTGTGTATGTGTATACACATATTGTGTAATGTTTATATATGATGATGTTCTTATTATTAGACCATGTTCAGCAAAAATATGGCATATTAAAGAAGAACACAAAAATTATTAGCTGCGTGTATATAAAATATAAATTTATTACTGTGCAACCTATAACCCTTTATCGGTGATCAAAGTTTTCGGCACTGCCAAATCATAAATTGCTCCACAGTATTTTTGTGGACTTTTAAATGGACGCAAGATTAGGGTACTCTAAAATAGCAATAAATAAAAGTGAGTTGACAATTTAATGTAAAGAGAGTCGTAAATTGATTTAAACCATAAAAGAGACGCTCTATTTGCGCTATAAAATTCAATGTAATCAAATACGAATTTAACAGTGCATTAAAATGAAGATAGCTACAATAAACATGGTCAGATTGTGTGACAAAAAGCAGAAGGACAAACTTAGCAGTTTCCATTTCAAGCTTTCGAGAGCATACAAAGCATATTGTTCGTTCTATAACTCAATTCAAAACTATTAAAAATGTAATAATAGTATTATGGTCAACTTCATCAACGGTGCGGAGAGTCCAAGGGTTTAGCTTGACCTCGACCTAAGTCAATGTTAAGCTGCAATTGGATTCGATTTTCAATCAAAGGCCATGTCAATAAAGCAACGATGCAAAGCTACCTTTGGCTTTGGCCGTCAAAATAGATTACAATCTGATTAGTTGTGGCCAGGACGAAGCCGATTTAAATGCATAACGAAAACAATAAAGAGTACATTATATATGTCTATTATAAAGGCTTGACTTGGCTTTGACTTGGCTCAGTTTGACAGACCAGACAGACAGACTACTGCTGCTGCTGCTGCTGCTGCCAGATAATCACGGGACAGGCTATGACAATTAAAGTGTCATTCACTTTAATCGCCATCGCTCCCTAAACGCGTTTAGCCATTAAACGCTTTAAGAGTTTGCACTCTGTCCTCTCACACGTGCCTTTTGCTCAGCTTATCTGAGAGCGCCATAATTTGCTTTTAACTAAAAACTAATTCTGGCAAATTTGTCGTACTGAATAATGTAAAAGTCGCGGATAAGCACACACAGGTAACGTTGAAGGACTTTTGAGAAGGAAGCGTAAAGCGGAAATGACTACGGTGATTATCTTAATTGCTTCACACGCTGCTCTCAGAGAGTCTGCGCTTTTTTGGGGGTTGGCGTTGAACTGTATTTAGTTAATGGGGGAGGGGGAGGAGGGCAGTGTCTGTGCTGATTCCAGCTAATCCTTTAGCTCCGGCTGAGTATATTAATTTTAAGAACCCTCATTAGGTTGGCCAGGAGCGGAGTAGATTTCCGAAGGATGCTCGCTGCTGACTTTAATAATTGTATGTCAATTTCATTTTCCCAAATTTGTTTGGATGGTGCTCATTATAAATATTAAAAAGAGCAGTAATTTGATCTGTTTTCCTTTGACGTTTCGATTTTAGTGTAGAAACATTTGACAAAATTATTGTGAAGCTAAATTAAACAAACTCTTGTAATTATCCAAAAACAAAATGCGTAAACATCGAAGACAATTTTCGCAGGAGGTAAAACATTCCCAAAAGCCGCCTGAGATGAGCCAGCATACTTTGAAAGATATGATGCGAGTACAGAACTGCAAGATGCATAACTTTCGAAAGAACGAAATATATCCAAGCATCCATCCACCAGTATCAAAGTGTAATCCTAACTCGTCGGACGCAATTAAGCTTAACTCTGGACGTCTTGATCTTCAGGGATTAAAAAAACCGAATAAACCAAGTGCAGATAAAACAGAGAATGTCGTTTGGAGTAATCAGAGTAAGCAAAGACAGGAGCAATTACCCGAAATGGCGATTGAATGGACTCATTTGTCTCCATACGAAGTGATGCGTTTGCAGAACTGCAAGACATTCAGGGTACTTGACCGTGAGACATATCCCAGCGTCCGACCTGCTGTATCCAAATGTAGTAATTACCAAACAGCTGAGTGGTTAGTTGAAGCGGTTGAGGATGCTGGCTGTGGACGCCGCTTTGATATGGAGCAAGATGATTTGATAGATGTTTGGAAACACAGCCCAAATAAGCATACGCTAAGCTATTACGGCGTTGGCTCACAAATTCACGAACCAGAGGCGATAGTGTTTAACCAGGCGATTTCAAAATCCCTACACAAGGCCAGCGAAGTCAAGCAGGCAGCGAAAAAAACTGAGTTGCTTAGCCCAACAATCATTCCGTATTCTACTGGGCCATGTGGACCCTTTGTGCTTAATCAACCGTTGCTGCAGGCGAAGGTCACTAGGATGCCCACTGTACAGAAAAAGATAAATGCACACGATGCACTTACTTGGCTTCACTGTCCCCATTCAATTGTGAACAAACACCCGTTCGTCGAAGACCATCCTCAGATGCCACTCGCAACGTCCCTCGACATGGAACGGCCAATTCCGAAGCCCAAGCATGGTCTTAGACGCAGGCATATGTACTGCGATCGGCAATGTGGTATTCCGCAGAACAAATGTACGGACTACGAATGGAGGAAATATAAAGAAGATCCCAAGCCAGTTGAAATGACATTTAAAACGGAATTGGCACAAATGGAGAAAAAAGCTGATTCGGAGCCCAAAAATTACGACGAGCTGTATTCGGAACTGGTCACCTGCTTTGAAAAGATCTCCGCAGAAGACCCAATTTGTACGCTTTATGACAAATGCTGTAAGCATCGCTCGAAACACAGTCTAGATATTCCTGTTGTTCCTCCCGACCTTACTTCGACTAACAAGAAAAAAGTTATACCTCCTCCGCGTATCGTAAAAGATAAAGGTGGGCCTGTGGATGAAGAGGAAAATCCAGAGAAAGAGAAGCCAGAGAAAGAGAAAGAGAAGCCAGAGAAAGAGAAAGAGAAGCCAGAGAAAGAGAAGCCAGAGAAAGAAAAAGAGAAGCCAGAAGAAGAAAAGCCGGAGAAAGAGAAGCCAGTGAAAGATGAAGAGACTGGAAAATCGGAAAAACCACCTAAGGAGAAAGGTGACAAACCGCCCGATAAACCGCGAGAAACTGATATATCATCCGATGTACCCGATAAGCAAAAAAAAAAAAAACCGGACAAGCCAGACAAAGCAGACAAAAAACCACCAAAAAAGGACCCACCATTGGAGGAATCACCTGAAAAGGAAACTGAAGGTCCATCAGATCCTTTGATTTCAGAAACGGATAAGCCAGACAAATCGACTGAGTACGATAAACCAGACAAAAAACCTCCCAAACTAGTCGACTTTGAAAAAAAAATTGAAATTCCCGATTGCCCTTGTGAAATGTGTGAGTTCATGAAACGACGACATGAACCAGACTCTCCGCTCATCCGTCAAATGAAGCAGGAAGAGAAACGACGCCAGCTTCGGGACTACTACAAACGAATGTGCCACCGCGAGTATCTCAAGTGCCGCCAACCCGAGTATCGCGCACCCCAGCACAAGTGTGATCCCATTGCCTGCGACAACTGCTTCTGTCGTAACCCCAAGTTGGGGGAGTATTGCGACTGTTTGGATGCCATGCAGCAGCTACAGAAGCTTCTCGGACCCAAGCATTGCATTGTCGAGAATGAGCTGATATTTAATGTAGAGGATCTACGGCGTCGTATATGCCAGCGCTTCTGCAATTGTCTTCAATGCCCTTAGCAAGCAACAATAGTTGCAGTAGCCAAGTCAAATGCATTTTTCATTGTTGGTTTATATCGGTGTATTTCATAAGTTGTGGATCTACTATGATCCAGTAATTTTGTTTATTTTTCACTAAATCGAGATTATAGTGTTGATGAGCTTATAGCTTTATATAAATAAATAGATAACAGATACAGTACAATAACATTCACTGCGGTGGGCGAAGGGTGTGTCAGGCATTGTGTCCATCTGGAAGTGTAATTGGAATCGCATATTTATCAATAGAAATTACCAGAATTGAAATTGTATCCTAAATTCCTTTTGTCAGTTAATTTCATAGCCTACTTGAATGTTATAGTATAAACTAGGCTGTGTCATTTGCGTGCTGCAAGTTCATTATGTAAAATGATTTGAATCAAATACTTACAAACTTTTTTTTTAAATAAATGTAAAAAAAAGATTTTATAAATTTTATGTTTCAATAGACCACAAATTTTTATGAAAATTGAAAATCATGCGTCGCCTACAAGAACCAAATATGTCACTCTACGATGCGATGCAAGTCCAGAACTGTAAAACGTTCAACTATCGAAATAAGGAAATGTACCCCAGCATTCGACCTCCAGTATCTCCGTGTAGTCCTGATCTCACAGCCCAATGGTTAGCTCATGCGCTGGAGGACAATGGCTGTGAACGTCCATTTGACATGGAGAACGATGATATCGTTGAGGTCTGGAAACGTAGTCCGAAAAAGGACTCGCTTCGGTTCTACGGCATAGGCTCAGCTATTCACAAGCCGGAAGCAATTGTTTTTAATCAACTAATTTCAAAATGCCTTGATAAGGTTAACCGTCCCAAGCCTAAAACCATCAAACCAAAAACCATTCCGCCTGAGAGTGAGAACTACCCAGAGCGGACTTCTGAAAACTATGTCCTTAATCGCCAGAAACTGCAGTCGAAAATCGATAGAAAGCCCGCTGTACGGGAAGTCGTAGACGCAAGCAATGCACTCAACTGGTTTTACTGCCCATTTAGCCAAAGTCAACCTAAAGTTTCTCTTCGAAATGCTCTTGACATGGAACGCCCAGGTCCCAAGCCTAAGCAGCGTCTCAAGCGCAAACACAAGTACTGCGAACCGCAATGTGATATTCCTGAGAATAAATGCACTGAATTTGAATGGAGTAAAAGTCAACAAGATACCAAGGCATATCAGGATGCATACAAAATTGAGATGGCACGTTTGGCGAAAGAATGCGATACTGATCAACTTAGCTACGATGAGTTATACTCGGATCTGATAACCTGCTTGAAAAAGATTCAAAGAAAGATCCATACTCGGATGCTTATAAGTGCTGCATGAAAGGCAATAAGCAGGGTGGCGCGAGTGGTTTGGAGGGAGGTGATAAAGGTGCTGGTAAAGATCGAGGTGGAGGTGTACATCGTGGAGATGATAGAGACCATGGGGAAACTGGGGAAGTTGCAGATGGTGGAGATAAAGATAACGATAAAGATAACGGTAAAGGCAAAGGTAAAGGAGAAGGGGAAGGTAAAGGTAAAGGTGTTGATGGAGGAGATACAGGCATAGATGAGCGTGGAGACTCTGGAAAAACTGCAGAGGGGGGCTCGGGAAAAGGTGCCGATGGAGACACTGGAAAAGGAGCGGGTGGAAGCTTGGGAAAGGGTGCTGGTGGAGGCTCGGGAAAAGGTGCGGGTGGCGGCACAGGAAAAGGTGCTGGTGGAGGCTCGGGAAAAGGTGCGGGTGGCGGCACAGGAAAAGGTGTGGGTGGAGGCTCGGGAAAGGGTGCCGGTGGAGACTCTGGAAAAGGTGCGGGTGGCGACACAGGAAAAAATGTGGGTGGAGGCTCTGGAAAAGGTGCCGGTAAAGACTCTGGAAAAGGTGCGGGTAGAGGATCCGGAAAAGATGCGGGGGAAGGCTTGGGAAAGGGTGCTGATGGAGGCTCGGGAAAGGGTGCCGGTGGAGACTCTGGAAAAGGTGCGGGTGGCGACACAGGAAAAGATGTGGGTGGAGGTTCGGGAAAAGGTGCGGGTGGCGACACAGGAAAAGATGTGGGTGGAGGCTCGGGAAAAGGTGCCGGTAGAGACTCTGGTAAAGGTGCGGGTAGAGGATCCGGAAAAGATGCGGGGGAAGGCTCGGGAAAGGGTGCTGATGGAGGCTCGGGAAAAGGTGCTGATGGGGGCTCGGGAAAGGGTGCTGATGAAGGCTCGGGAAAAGATGCGGGTAGATGGTCGGAAAACGGTGCTGATGGAGGCTCGGAAAAAGTGCGGGTCAAGATTCAGGCAAAGGAAAAGGTGGCAAGTCTGGAGAGTCACATAAAAAACAAGATGGTCATGAAGACTCTAACATCCGGGACCCACAAGAAGGTTCAAAAACTGACCAACCAAGTACAAATGCCGTACCTCCAAACACCGAAGAGAATAAGGATTTAGTTGGTGAAGACAAGACGCTCAAGGATTGTCCCTGCGAAATCTGCGAGTTTATGACACGACGAGAACGTGAACCAGACTCGCCACTGATTACCCAAATGAAAAGAGAACAGAAACGTCGCGAGCTTAAGGACTACTACAAGCAAATGTGCCACCGCGAGTATCTCAAGTGCCGCCAACCCGAGTATCGAGCTCCTCAGCACAAGTGTGATTCCATTGTGTGTGACAACTGCTTCTGTCGTAACCCCAAGTTTGGGGAGTATTGCGATTGTTTAGATGCCTTGCAGGAGCTACAAAAGTTGCTAGGTTCCAAGCATAGTATTGTAAATAATGAAATTATAAACAATATAAATGTAATCAAGGATCGCATTTGCAGACGGCTCTGTGAGTGCTTGTAGCTACAAAGGGGACGAAGAAGAGGTCGAACAACGTATGCAATTTTAAATTTCACAAACTTTTTATATTTTTAGATTAAAATATGTTTTATATATTGTCAATATATTACTTTCTGAAAAGAAAGAGAGACAAGGGACTTGCTTAGATAATTTCTTTAAAAAAAAAGTACCCTGTGTCACTTACTCATATGTGTATTTGAAAATTGAGTTTCCAATACATAGATCGACCAAATATGGTTGTCTTTTAAAACAAAGCCTACTTCAGTGCTGCTTATATACCCTTCGGAGTTGACAATTTTTATAGTACATTCGGGTTATTGTATAAAATGTTTTGAAACGAATATATCCAAAAATTTTAGTTAGACAACAGAAAAAAACCTCCAAAAGGTTTTTACTGATTTTGGCAGTAGATTCACCATCCTGATTCGATCACGATGGACAGACAGCAAGAAGAGCCCACCCAAGAGTTTGGGGATCTTGAGCAGTACTACGGTCAACTTACACCCTACGATGTGATGCGTATGCAGAACTGCAAATCGTCTCGATTTGTAAATAGAGAAACATATCCCAGCATCAGGCCACCAGTGTCCAAGTGTAGTTTAAATCAGACAAAGACGTGGTTGGCAGATGCCGTTGAGAACATTGGCTGCGTTCGACCTTTTGAAAACATGCATAATGATTATCTACTCGATGCCTGGAAGCAAAGCCCCAACAAGGAAACGCTCAGTTGTTACGGCTTGGGCTCAGATGCAATAGTTTTCAATCAGGTGCTCCTCAAATGTCTTAATAAAGTCAATGGTGTAGAACGGTGCAAGAAATCAAAGAGCCCAAAAAAAAGCGAGAAGAAACGAGCCAAGCCGAAGGGTTCTTATGTACTCAATCGCAATGTGCTGAAATGTACCATCAATAAGATGCCCACAGTCTTGAGCAAGACGAATCCAAGCAAAGCCAATACTATACTGTACTGTCCGGAACCGGAAGATCCCGAGAATCCCTTCATAGAAGATGAACCCATTATTCCCCTACAGCGTGCCTTGGATATGGAAAAGCCCATTCCAAAGCCCAAGCATGGGCTCAGGCGCAGGCACATGTACTGCGACCGCCAGTGTGGCATTCCGCAGAACAAATGCACCGACTACGAATGGAGGAAATACAAACAGAATCCTAAGCCATATGAGGTGGCTTTCGAATCAGAGATGGCCGAGATGGAGTGCCCAGAAGAGCCCGAGCCACAAACCTTCGACGAGCTTTACACAGAACTGATCTCTTGTTTCCAGAAGACTGAGGTCCAGCATCCCTCGTGCAATGTTTACGAAAAATGCTGTGCACGGCCCTCGGAGCGTCTGTCCGGGATTCAGGGTTGTGGAGAAGAAAAATTACCTAAATCCTTTCGTAAGTTAAAAAACTGTTAAGGATGTCATTTGTATAGATAGAAAGAATACTGCTTAAAATAGGGCAAAGGAGATTGCAGACAAGCAATAAGATAAAGCATGAAAGCGATTTAGAAAACCCAAAGAAAGAGGCAGAGAATAAAAAAAAAACAGACTTATTTTTAATATTTATGTTGATAAACTTATGCGTAAGATTTCCCGCTAAGCATGAGCTTGAGCTGCCTTTTCGACAGCCTTTCGAAAATTTATCTGCACCCTTTTGACATTTTGCGAGTATATTGCATAATTCATTTCAGGATAGAAACCTTTTTAAGCGTGTCCGAGTCTCTTCTTCCGTGCACGCCCTTGGCATCCTCTTCATTGCTCACGTTCCACGCTTCAATAAATTTTAATAAAATCGCATTCCGTTTCGTTTCAATGCAACAGCAACAAGGCGGAAGCACAAAAAATAAAAAATAAGTTAAAAAAAAAGAACAGAAAAGTAATAACAGTGTGCCGAAAATTTAATGCCCTTGCAAGTCTGTATTAGCTTATGCAATGTTCCTCCTATGATACAGCAACATATTAAATCTAAGCCAAAGGTAACAATATTATTGTACCGACCGTTTTCAACATAGCCTAGATAACATGAAACAAGTCTTACTTTGCCACGTTGATCAATTATATATTGAAACATCCACGTTATACATTTTTAATGACTAAATTAGTATGCCCTTTGGCAAGAGTATTAAGAGTAAATTTTTAATCAACGTACGCCAAAAAAAAAAAAAAGCAAAAACAAAACCGACAACGACCACGCCTACATGCCACAAGTACACACCCACACATGATATGAAAAGGGGTGGCCTTGCGGTAAGGGTGTGGGTGAGTTTTTCAGTCTCCCTTTCAACTTTGAGTTGCGCTTTTTTTTTTAAGCAGACCTCATTTACCGAAAAGTATTCAGCACTTTTAGCAACTTTCCGAAATACGTTTCATGTCACTCTCTGTTCTGTTCTACCCAATTCTCACTGCTTCTTGCAATTAATTAATGCAACAATTTTGCTGTCCACTTTTGGGACCAACGCGAAACTAATTTGGCACAGCCTTTTTGGGCCATTAGGCGCTGAGGGAGAAAGTGGAAAGGATTTGGTAGTAGTTGTGCGGCTAAACGTTCGCCTTAGGTCAGCTAATCCAGTTAGTTGGTGGGTGGATGTGTGTGTGTGGCATGTGTGTGTGTGTGGCATGTGTGTGTGTGGCATGTGTGGTGTGAGTTATACGCGCAGCACATCAAATGCCAGGCCCATTACTTAGACATAGGTCAAATATGCAGCTCTAAATGTTGGTCTTGCAAAAAAAAAAGAAAAACAGTAAAAGAAATATAAAAAAATGTCCGTGTTTTTGTTTCTAGCAGGTTGTGAAAAGTCAGAGCAAAAAGTCGAATGTGCTTGTTGGCAGCGGTTCTCTGTTGCTTTTTGTTAGATTCATTGTTATTGTTGTCGTTTCCTATTTGCTGTTGGCAGGATATGCTCGCCGGCTGGTTGAAACGTCTGTCCCTGCTCGGGTGCTTCCTTCTTCTTCTTCCTCATTTTTCTTCTTTTTTTTTTTGGCCAACGTTACGTAAAATTCCTTTTAAACTCAATGCCTTGTAAACAGCGGTTGAATTTGGTAGGGAGCATGGAAGGGGAGGCGTGGATCAGAAGCATGTTGCCGTGTCATTGCAATGATAAATGTATTGGGTCACACACACCCAACCACAGACCAACACACCCACACCCACACACACACACACACACACACGCACACACTCTAAGTACACACAATGAAAATTTTGCGCCATGAAAAGAAAATTGTGTGAATCGAGCGTCGGAGAAGAAGAAGTAAAGCTCCAGATGGGCACATGACACACATTCTACGACAAGGCGAACAGAAATAACAACAATCAACTGTAAGCTGAAGAAGAAGAAGAAGAAGATGTCGAGCAACAAATATGGCGACACAAAGCCAAGCCAATGAGCCAGTACACACACAACTGGCTACAATTCAAACAGTTCCCGGCTAAAAACGTGCACGTGACCTGGCTAAACAAACTATGCGAAAGACTTTCGCATATAGCCCAAAGTTGTGGATTATGTGTGACCACCTGAACAATAGGATTTTCGAACCGCATCTTTCCCTTAGCATTTAATTGGATCGCAATCGATGCCGCCACACTGACTATGTGCAAAGCTATTTTTATTAGCTTATATTGCAATGTTTGTTTTCATCACAGGTGCCCAAGCGAATTTCACACAAGTATACAAATATGCCAGAGTGTTGTGTATGTGCCTTAGAAGCGAGGCCCGTATCGTCGGAATAATTAATGTTGCAAAAATATGTTTACAAACAAACAAACAAAAAATGCTTAAGAAGAGCAAAATAAACGCTTCAAAAGCCATCGGACTGCAAGTGATGTTTTGAGATGCGAAATGTGCATCACTCCTTGTAGATTGGAAAATATTTTATGGGCTTCTTATTATTAGCTTTTAGTTTTAAAATCAGTTAATGGCTTTAAAATATATTATAGTGTATACAGCAAAATACGCTCCCTTCAAGCTGATTTTTTACAATTAGGCAGAAGTTATTTATCAGATTCATGTTTAATATTCTCCTGTTAGGGTATTACGAGATAGTTTTGCTTATTTTTACAGAGTGTGTTTTGTTGATGCTTTACTAATATTTACTATTTTACCTTAGCATGCACTTGCTGACAGCCGATGATGGCAAGAGACAAGATTGATGATATTTAATATATATATATTACGCATACGCACCTTTGGCTTCTTAGCATATTGTCCGGTGCGAACATCGCGTATTGTGGCTATATCCAAAATGTCGAGCTCATTGTTTTGATCGATCCAATGGAGATAGAATCCTTTTGCATCCACACGCATTGTCACCGGTGTCCCGCTGCCGGAATCCTGCATATATAAAATCATATCATTATGAAGAATATGCCAATTAAATTGAATACAAATTGTTAATTAATCATTAAATGAAATATAAATTCTATAAATATGATGTTCCATCGTCTCATTGTCTACGGCACATTGAACTCGCTCGGGAGAGTGTAATGAATTTATTATATCGTATTTCGCTCCAGTCGCCCACAAAAACGACCGAAATCAAAAACAAAAAGTCATCTCTGCTTATTATTTAAGTCAAATGAAAATTGCCCTGTGAACAGTGCATATGCCCCGTCCGTCAGCCCCATCCCCCATTTTCCTCCCTAGCTCTGCCCAACTGCCGTTTGCCATAAATATTTTAGCATTCATTCATAAAAACCAAAGAAAAGAATGCGAAATTTGCTCATGTTGGACGCAGCTGGCTGCCGCCCGGCAATGCCAAACAGATGCGCTCAGATAAAACATCGCGAGCCAAAAATGAAATATGTATTTAATTTTTTTTACTTTATTTTTGTATCGTGTTTTTAATATATTTTATGCAAAACAGACGCCACACGTTACGTGGGGAGCAACTGCGGAACCAGCCAACTGAGGAAGCTGCTATTCAATTTTCTTGGAAGGCGTTAAATGGCTAGAAAGAAACAAATGCTTATCGCTCATTCAGATTAAATAGCATACATATTTGTTTATACAAATATATTGCTCAAAACGGAAGCTGATCTATAACTAGATGGGCAGTCATAAAACAGAGTCCACTTTGGACATTTTGAGCAACTTGCTTGTTCAACATTTGAAAAATCCAAACACTTCCAGTTCAGATATAAAAAAAGACAATAATATTCTCAGAAAAGAAAACATTCAATTGTCTAAGCCTATATGCACTTTGAATGAATAAGAGTTTGAAAATGAGTTATGTTAAAGTAAGTGAAATGAATGTTTTATGAAGTAGAATGAGAATATTTTCGATTGCTAGTCCTTTGTGTAGAGTTCAGTAAACTAACATTATTGCTGACGATTTAAGTCAGTGCAAAGTGTTTTATTTCGTATGGAGTGTAAAAAGCAGATATTTTGACATGGCAAATGAACCCCGAAATATGACCATTAATATTAGCAGATAATGAGTGTTATTTCGCTCGAGAACTGATGAGCATTGAAATAGTCATAATGAGAAAATTGTATTTGCAGCTGCACGGAGTTCATTATCCTTTGCTGCGGACGGTTTAATGAACTCACAAGGTGCCAACAAAGTGGCTAAAATTTCACTTTGGGGACGGCCAACAAACTCTCCCCTCTCCTAAATGTAACTGTAATTCAGGCACCCTCGCATTTCTAATAATTGATATTGAAAACATTTACTTGCAGATCAAATATGCGCAGCTTTTGCCTCAGGGGCGTTTGAGGGTCATTTGGGATTCGAGCCCGCTTTTGGTTTATTTCCTTCTTTCAGCCACCACCACAGCCACTTTAATATTCAATTAAGCGCATATTTTCTGAAGATTTTTTGGATGGCATTGGAGGAAAAGGGATGCGCATCGCTAATTGGACTTCAGTTTCACCCGCGCGCGTTCTCCCCTTCAACATTTGCCTTGTCTTCTTATGCCTGCTTTTCTAATTACTTTTTACTAATTGAGCTGCTTCCCATTGACCCAAGTTATTAATTTGTTTTCAATATGCGAAATTTGGTGTTAGCGGACACTGGCATTCGCATAAACACCCAACTGAAATGGCCTGCGAATCAACAGCGATATCAGAAATTTCCAAATCGTGACTAAAAAACTGGCAACTGGCAAGTGGCAACGGTCGACTGTCTGTCAGGCTCTGTATTGTGTGCTTTTTGGCTAAAAGCGATTACATGCATAATTCAATTGATGTAACAGCCTGTCTGCGCCCTCGATACAACGATTGAGCTGCCTATGCCATGCAAAGTGCGAGAAAAGTGCGGAAAAAAGGAAGTTGGCTTGTTTTGCCAAAAGGGATAACTGTTGGTCGCAAATTTACCCCAGCTAGATACAGATGCAGATACAGCTAGAGCTACAGAAGTACAGTTCTATGCACATTGTATTGTCAATCATGCTTAGGGGCCTGCCAATAAAGCCGGCAAGTGCGTGTTTCGCTCAGTTTCAGTTGGATTTATGCACTGCTTTGGGGACTATGCAAATGCTATTTGGGATTACACAGCTGCTGCCAGGCATTTGTGTGTGTGTGTGTGTGATAGGGGTTTCTGTTACCCCTATCATACATATCTTCTTTTTACTTTACTTAGCTATGAACAACTATTGAAATTAACCTAAAGTGTTCGTCTGGGTAATATCCTATAAAAAATATATGTAAATATAAAGCTGCGTAGGTTGTGGTTATTCACCTATCAAATACTGGTAGCTATTAGCCAGCTTTTATCTGCCCACAAATTGCAGTTAGCATGAGCAATTTCTTAACAATGAATGATAACATTACAATAACAAATATGTATTTCAATGCTGATAACTCTGCGACATCTACTCTTGAGCGATAACAAAAGTTGATTTTTTATTGCACACTACTGATTATAGACTAAACGTTGTGTTTATTATGATTATTCGATAGCCATTTTCCAGAGTACAAATACAATGTATATTAATACAATTTTGATACTTTATGTATAAGAATACGTATATTTTTTTTGTTTTGATAAACGTTCTTAGCAATATATTATCCATTTTTATGGCTAATCAACCATGCGTATATTGTTGTCTGTGTGCCACTTATAAGACCCTTTCCCGTTTCTATAGGGTATATGAAGAAACTTGAGTAGTTGCAACTTCAAACTTCATGCAAATGATGTCATAAAAATGTAGACAGCATCCAGCGTTTGTCACCTGTGCAAGTTTGCCAAGCACTCGACACTTGATGCTCGACTTGGCTCTTGTTGTTTTAAAGTTCTGCAGGAACTTATTAAGCATACGCCAAGTGGTGCATGGCAGTCGAGCAAACGAAGCCATTCAGACAAAGAAGAAGAAGAAGAAGTAGAAGCTACGAGAGCAGCAAAAGCAATCACTGTCAACGTCTGTCACAGTTGGACGCCATTTGGCCTTACTTGGAGCAGAACTAAAATTAAGATTGATGTACAGCCAAGATGATATACATATACAGTTGGAGAGCAATTACAAATTGACCCTGAACTCGAAGCAGGTGTGTTCAAAGGTTTACATAATCTAGAATCAACGATTAAGCACGCTCGATCCAAACAATATTTTAGAAATCAAACTGATTCTAATCGTGCCATTGATCGGCAATAGTGTTCCTGATACTTCACATTCGATTGAGAGATTAGATAGCGATTGTTTGCTTTAATTTACGACAAGTGTATTATTAGAGTATTATTTTACAGATTAGTGACTTCTAGTTGAGCTGATAGTAGGCGCTGATCACCTGGTAGATCCAATTCACATAGGAAGGCACCGAGGTAAACACCGACGGCCGATTGGCATATCCACAGGGCATATAGCTCCACGATCCAAGACCAACCAGCTCAGCAACGCCATCCTTTGGCCAGTAGACCAACGGGGTGCCACCATCCCCGTAGCAGGCGTTCACCTGAGCGCACACCTGATTTGTGGACAGTGGTGCATCCGTTGGCAGCAACTCCGCGCAACTAATGCTATTGAGGAGCGTGGCGAAACCATATTGCAGCTCCTTGGAGTATGCATCGCCATCGACATCGGTCAATCCCCAGCCGTACACGGTGGCCAACTTGCCACTGTAGTCGTCATACAAATCGGGCAATGCTATCTGTTGCACACGTGCCGAGTAGACAAATGACTCAGAGACATGCAACAGAGCAATATTGTCGCTGCCCGCTTTCCCACTGAATGAACGATGCGACGAGGCAAAGTCCACGTATCGCACCTGTGCCTCACCCACATTCTTGCGATTCGAGAGTCCGGCATATATGGGAGTGCCAATGAGGCCGCCGTTGAAGTTCTGCAATTCCAGGACACAATGCGCCGTGGTGAGAACCCAACGCTTGCCAATTATTGCACCGCCGCACTGGTGTGTGTAGGTCAGCCTGGTCAGGCTGAGTGAGACGAGGTAGGACGCATTATCCACACCCTGCACATCGAAGCCGTCAATAATGCGTGACGATATTTCGCCATCTGTCTGATCAGGCTTGACCCTCAGCATTGCACGCTCCACAATGTTTGGCACTGATTTGGAGTTGGCCAAATCCTCAACGTGACCATCCTCAATGTGACCCGACAGCAAATGCCGCAGATGATGCATCTGCCGTTCTGCGTTGGCCAGCGCCAAAAGGGCCAGCAAACTGATGAATATTTTTACCGTTAACATGACGTTACGTTATGTTCGTGTTGCGAACTGCGTTTACTGTGAACGGCTGCCGGAAGCTCGCGAGACTTATATGTAATCGAACATTAAAGCTTTGTGATAAGCAATGAGGGTGACGATAACTTCGATTACCAGAAATCATTTCTGACAGCCGCAGAGAGCGAGAGAGAGATTAGGGATGGGTTTTTTTTTCGAGTGTTTTTCACGACACGAACAGCAGACACACATTTGATTATAATTGTGTATTATTTTTCGTATTGTTATTTAAAATCTTAATATATTTTATATGGAAAAAATCTTATTGGGAGTTCTTTCGCTACAAATCAATCATGTGGAATAAATTCCGGCTGCACATGTTCAAATGTAAAAGGAAGTCCAGGAAATACTTTAATTCATTTTTTAAATTGATAATTTACCGGATTTAAAGTTTAGCTTAACCCCACAAAGCTGGGAAGTCATTTGATTTTCTATTGAAAGCTATTAAGTTCTTTCATTAATTGAATCATTAATGAAATCGCTTTTAACTTTAAAAAGTTAAAGCATAGCCCGATTATTTAACTTAGTTAAAGGGGTATGATTTTTGGTCACTGAATTTGATTTATTTTTACAAATTTCAACACATAATCAAGGGCAGTTGGTGCATGAGGTATTTACCTGCCCATTAAACTCTACTTTCAAAATAAAATATACTGCCTCATCTCATCATGATGTGTTTGGTGTAAATTTTATTACCATCGTTTAACTGGACTTTAAAGTGGCATTTATGGTTTGGATTTCCCGCTGTTGGGCATTTCCCTGCCCAGAGGTTGTTGTTGTTCTTGTTGTTGTGTGTACACAATTGTGTGTGGTTGCACAAAGTCCAAAGCCCGCAGCGGCGTAAAATATGCTTTTAATTGCCTAAGCCCGCAAAATGGCCGCCAACTGCCGCAGGGCGAGAACACTGGACGCTGTCCACTCTTTTATGTGGCTACCAAGGACGCGAATCCCTTTCACATCTGCATGTATGCATAAACAGACATGTATGTATTTTTAGCGCCCTTTTGTAAGAGGGAAACATTGGCACGGGCCGACCTTGTACGCGTGGTTTGTCGATACCTTATAGCACACACACACACATCACGCAGTCTAAAAATATCGCAATTATTGAAGCTTGTAGCTTGTAGGGTTTTAGCTTCTGGTATCTTCATATTTTCTGGTTATCTAGTGATTTTGGATTAGCCATAGTTTCAATGGTTTGGGGAAAACACACAAATATTGATTAGCTCACAAAGCGAAATCAATTCCATGAATCCATCTACTAATCGATAGATAAGAGAGATCGCAGAATGAAGATATAGCAAGTATAAAAGATCGCTGCCAATCATCGAGCCCATCATTCGCAGTCCATAGTCTCAGGAAATACAATGAAAGTCGTTGCGATTACACTTCTCGCCCTGTTGTGCGCCAGTGCCCAGGCTGGCAAGCTGACCGAAGGCTTGAACAAGTTCATCCCCAGCTTTGCTACCGGCTTTGTGATCAACGGCACCCAGGCTGAGCCCCACTCAGCTCCGTACATCGTCTCCCTGTCGAGTAAGGCCGAGAAACACTCGCATATCTGCGGCGGCACCATCATCAACAAGGAATGGGTCCTCACTGCTGCTCACTGCATCTCCAAGCCTGTGGGAATGGGCGTCATCGCTGGCCTGCACACGCGTGCCGATGTCAATGATCGTACCCAGCAGCGTGTCGTTGATTTTGGACGCGTGCACGAGCTGTACACCGGCGGCGTTGGTCCCTTCGACATTGCCATTCTACATTTGAGCGAACCCCTCGTGTTCAACAAGTACGTCAGCCCAGCAACTTTGCCAAGCCGCGAGCAGGTGCATGAGGGAGAGACCCATCTGTACGGTTGGGGACAGCCTAAGTCTTATCTGTTGATAGCCTCCAAGTCTCTGATGACCGTGACCACTGAGATTGTCAACTATGACGAATGCAAGGATGCGTTGCCCGAAGATGCCCCACTCGCACCTACCAACATCTGCTCCGCCTCCCTCCAGCAGAGCATCTCCGCTTGCAACGGTGACTCTGGTGGACCATTGGTCGTTGAGTACGAGGATGCCTCTTCTGAGCTGATTGGCGTTGTCTCCTGGGGCTATATTCCCTGCGGCTTAGCTAACTTCCCTTCGATTTACACCCGTGTCTCGGCCTACGTCGATTGGATCGCCAAGATCCAGAGCGCATACTATGCTTTGTTCTAAGTAGTTCTCTCGACGATTTAATAAATAATCTTGACGTCAATACTACTTCAGTTTTGATTATACCAATATTTTTGTCATCATTGTTGCTGTTTATAGATCATGCGATATGCATATATCAGCTAAGATCTAGATTGGCTTATTACTTTGGATTACTTCAATCTTTTCATGGTCATTGCGAAAGTTCACTTCGCACTTTTCGTCTGGGGCGTATGGCATTGATAACTGGCAAGTTACGAGCTTTTGCTTTCTACCAATCAGTATTAAAAACTGATAGCTGCTGAAGCTTTGGAAACTACGCCCATTTTTTGCATTTGATTAGCATATCTTACATCAGAAGGATCTTTATCAAATTTTTTAGAAGGAGCGTTATCAAATTTGTAAATGGAATGAGTATACGTATTTTAAATTATTTATTTAAATAATGAGCTGATTAGCTAGAATATTGAAAGACTTTTAATCTGACGATAGAAAATCTTATTATTCTGGGCGAATGGACCTATACAAAAAGAACAGTGTAGAAACGAACCCATCATTCTGAATCCACTATTTCAAGGCAACCAATCCGACCCAATCAGCAGAATCAAAAATTAAATATTATCAGGTGTACGCATTTAAAAAAAATGTATACATATTTTAGTCTTCAATAACTTTTTAATTGGAGACAATCCCATTGATTAGGCTAATTTACTATCTAAGTAGTAAATCTATCTAGTCATACACATATTTATATTTATAGCTTGCAACGATGACAAGCTAAAAACCAAAGCCAAAAACATTAAATACAATTTATTGCCTCCAATAAAAAATCTTTCCCATTTGACTTACACAAAACGAACAGCTTTTAAGATTATGAAATGTGGCAGCAACTTTCGTATGCAAGCCAAATCGACTATGACAGCCTCAACGAACTTTAATCTGCAAATTATATTTAAATTTTAATGGTCAAAGATTAAAAGTGAAGCCTGTGTGCAGACTCTTGGTGAGCAAATACTTCGAGCTACAAGCAACTAGGATATCAACATCACTCACTGCCTACCAAACCTACAACTTCCGCAGGGAAAGAAAACTGGTCGTTGTCCACTATTTTAAGTGGTTACCAAGGACGCCTTTATAGATTAATATATATATATATATATATTCACATGTTCATGTATGCATATACAGACATGTATGTATTTTTAGCGCCCTTTTGTGAGAGGGAAACATTCGCACGGGCCGACCTTGTACGCGTGGTTTGTCGATACCTTATAGCACACACACACACAGACACACACACACACACACACTCTAAAAATATCGCAATTATTGGACCAACAATGTTACGCATAGGGTTGTAGCTTCTGGTATTTTCATACCTTATCGTTATCTGGTATATTTGGATTAGCCAAAGTTTCCCTATTTTTTGGTGAAAACTCATAAACTCATAAAACGAAATCAAATTCATAAATCTAACTACTAATCGGCAGATAAGAACGATCGCCGAGTGCAGATATGGCAAGTATAAAAGATCGCTGCCAATCATCGAGCCCATCATTCGCAGTCCATAGTCTCAGGAAATACAATGAAAGTCGTTGCGATTACACTTCTCGCCCTGCTGTGCGCCAGTGCCCAGGCTGGCAAGCTGACCGAAGGCTTGAACAAGTTCATCCCCAGCTTTGCTACCGGCTTTGTGATCAACGGCACCCAGGCTGAGCCCCACTCAGCTCCGTACATCGTCTCCCTGTCGAGTAAAGCCGAGAAACACTCGCATATCTGCGGCGGCACCATCATCAACAAGGAATGGGTCCTCACTGCTGCTCACTGCATCTCCAAGCCTGTGGGAATGGGCGTCATCGCTGGCCTGCACACGCGTGCCGATGTCAATGATCGCACCCAGCAGCGTGTCGTTGATTTTGGACGCGTGCACGAGCTGTACACCGGCGGCGTTGGTCCCTTCGACATTGCCATTCTGCATTTGAGTGAACCCTTCGCGTTCAACGAATTCGTCAGCCCAGCTACTTTGCCCAGCCGCGAGCAGGTGCATGAGGGAGAGACCCATCTGTACGGTTGGGGACAGCCCAAATCTTATGTGTTGACAGCCTCCAAGTCTCTGATGACCGTGACCACTGAGATTGTCAACTTTGCCGAATGCAAGGATGCGTTGCCCGAAGATGCCCCACTCGAACCCACCAACATCTGCTCCGCCTCCCTCCAGCAGAGCATCTCCGCTTGCAACGGTGACTCTGGTGGCCCATTGGTCGTTGAGTACGAGGATGCCTCTTCTGAGCTGATTGGCGTTGTCTCCTGGGGCTATATTCCCTGCGGCTTAGCTAACTTCCCTTCGGTGTACACCCGTGTCTCGGCCTACGTCGATTGGATCGCCAAGATCCAGGGCGCATACTATGCTTTGTTCTAAGTGGTTCTGTCTGCGATTTAATAAACAATCTTGACGTCAAGTCAAGTTATGTTTGGATTATACCAATATTTTTGTCATCTTTGTTATCAACTAAGATCTGGATTGACTTATGACTCCAGATTAACGTGTGCCTAGATTCAGTTGGATTAGTCGAATCTTCTCTTGGCCATTGCGAAAGTTCACTTTGCACTTTTCGTATGGGGCGTATGACATTGATAACTGGCAAGTTACGAGCTTTTGCTTTCCACCAATCAGTATTCAAAACTGATAGCTGCTGAAGCTTTGGAAACTACGCCCATTTTTTGCATTTGATTAGCATATCTTACATCAGAAGGATCTTTATCAAATTTTTTAGAAGGACCGTTATCAAAATTATAGATGGAATGAGCATACGTATTTTAAATTATTTATGGCCCAACTCAAATCGATTTAAGATAGCATACTTTAAGGAGTCTCATGACTACATTAAAATTAATAAAAGCTTGATATCAAAAATTGATATTTAATATCATTTCTAATCCACTATAAGTAAGAATGCTCTAGTCGAGAGAGATCGACCTGGAGATAGCTTACACAAATATCTTAATCGATTTTGGTCGATGGGGAAACGAGGAAATTTGTCACAGAAAAAAAAGACTTGAACTTTGTCTGCTATTCGAAATACGTAAATTCCCTGATATGGCCACAGATATGGACGGACATGGCTTGATCGACTCGGCAAGTGCCTGTTAAATAGTTTACCACAGCTTTATTATATACCACCTTAAATACCACTTTGAGAAATGTCATAAATTGTATTTGTGAATACTGAAATGATAAGCTGAATAGCTTAATGTAGAAACAGTGTAGAAACGAACCCATCATTCTGAATCCACTATTCCAAGGCAACCAATTCGTCCCAATCTACTATAAAAATTAAATGTGTTTAGTGGCTCTAATGAAAAATCTTTCACTTTCCCATTTGATTTTGCATAAATCGAATATCTTTTAATATTACTAAATATAGCAGCAGCTAAGTTGAATATGACAGCCTCAGGGAACTCTAAGCTACATATTATGTTTCTTAAGTTTACAAATGTTGTTTAAAATGTAATGGTTAAAGGTTCTGCGAAACCTTCTGTCTGATTAGGCCCTGTCTTGATTGAAGAAACGCAGAGATACTAGCGATAAGTGGACAGTGGCTGATAACATGTAGTAGGAAAAGACAGAAATATTTGGGGTCAACTTGCTTGGAAACACATCAGAACTCTATGATATTCAACCCAGGCAACTGGTTGATTGGGTTCATTCAACCCATGGGAGCCAAGCCACAAAGAGGACCGATAATTCCTATGGTCCGATCTATATTAATATGCCGCTACATTTTCAAATTATTATTTGTGACTCACGCTTTCTTTGAACAACCAAGTATTTTAACAAAAATAGACTACCTAGAGTTTGAAGTATATTCGTCAGCTTGTCTGCTTTGTCTTTTAAATGCAGAATGTTAGTTGGGTTATTCCGATTACGTTCATATATGGGTGTCAATAAACCAAACCGCATTTAAGATTTACAAGCCACTTGCAATATTGTTTACTTAAAAATTGAACCAGTGGAATCATTGAACTGCGTCTAGCCCACTTGAATGATGACTGAGTGATTGCCATATTGCAATTGATATTGATCTAAAGTGTGGCAGCGCCAGGTATTAATAGATCCGATAATGATATCTGACAGCAAGATAGAGTCCACTTTTATTAATCAGGACATGGCCGCAAGCCTAAAGCCACCGTTAACAGGATCGTAAATTTGCAAGAATAACCCGTTACTCTTGATAACCAAACGGTTGTCATTTTTATATTATGATAACGCCAGCTGATAACGAGAGACGACCGTTTTTTGCTATAAAAACATTCGATTCGCTACCGTTAACAAACACTAAACAGTGTAATTAACTGCAGTTAACATGAAACAATTTGTTGTGCTCCTTGCTCTGGCCGTTGCCTCAGCTAGCGCCAATGTGATCGGCATGCCTGGCTTTCCCGAGGGACGCATCATCAATGGACATGAGGCCAGACCCAACGAGGCACCCTTCATTGTGTCCTTGCAGACAACCAAAGGAGCTCATTATTGTGCTGGCTCTCTGATCAATGAGCGTACCGTTCTGACCGCCGCCCATTGCCTGATCTATTCGGACTTCCAACTGGTTGCCGGTGGCCACAGCCAATCCGATAATTCCGAGACGCAGGTGCGCAAGGGAAGTGACAAGCGCCAGACTGTCCATGCACAATACTCAGGCGGTGTTGGTCCCTATGATATCGGTCTGATCTTCCTCGATACACCCTTCAATCTGAATGCGATCGCCCGTGATGGTAGTGCACCCGTTGCAGCCATCTCGCTGCCCAACAATTACTTTTCGGCCAACAGTGATGGTGTGCTCTTTGGCTGGGGACGCGACAACGCTGGCAAGTTGCCCGACAAACTGCAGAAACTGGATGCGGACATTATTGGGTACAATGATTGCGCAGCTGCGATGCCCAAGGGCAATAAGTTGGACCAGACTAACATTTGCACCTATACCGCTGGTACTACCGATGGTGCCTGCAATGGCGATAGTGGCGGTCCCCTGGTTACCAAGAAGTCCGATGGCAGCTATGAGCTAGTTGGTATTGTCTCTTGGGGCTATACTCCCTGTGCCACCACCAAATATCCCTCTGCATACACCTCGACTGGTGCCCATGCCAGCTGGATCAAGGAACACATCAATGACTTTTAAACTGCGACATTCTATAAACTGATTAAAAATATATATACTTTTGTGCATTACTCACATCGTCCCATTTGATGAACTTCTCGCCATCCTGCAGGGCCTGTGGCACCTCCACGCTGGCCGTCGATATGTAGGTGCCCCCGGCACTCATCATCTTGTAGGCCTTTTTCTGTTTGTTATTCTATTTGTGCTTTGTTTTGCTGTTGTTGTGCTTGTGCCTTATTCAACTGCTGTGCGCTGTGCGTTGGTTTGGTTTCAGGTTTTTCTGGTTGCCTGGTTGGTTGTTAACCACTGCTTTGCATTTCCTTTGTTGAATTGGTTGCTCTTTCAACAGTGGTTCTCTCAGTTGTTGTTACTGTAGTTGTTGTTGTTGATATTGCTGTTGTGCATACAAATGACGCCATTTGACCGTGTCCTGGTCCTGACCTCAATTAGACCAATGTTGCAACTGCTGCACGCTTCACCTGCTCGTGCTGCATTCTGATGGCTTCGGATTCGCAGCTTGATTAAAATTCCGCTAATGTTTGGTAAATCTAATTGCAAAAAGTACAAGCAAAACAGACAATAAAATTTGTTTAGAGTGTGCTTATCAGTGTTTCTTTCCATTCAATGCGCTTCAACAGAGTTGGCTATCTTTTAATCATGACCTCACTGTCGAAATACCTTAACACAGTTATCAACTTAAAGGCAATTGAGGCGAAACATTGAACAAAAAGCATGAGCATAAAATTTATAGTTCTCAGATTTCAAGTAGTTAATTTTAAATCGTATACCAGAATGACTATTGGCAGGGAGAGAATTTAATAAATATGACAGTAACACTTTGGTTGGTCTTCGTTTCTCTGACATGTGTATTTTGTGAAAATTTGATTACTTTTTCTTAATTTACTAAGAGCAAATCATCCGGTTGATGGTTCTTTTTTTGGATTGATATGTTTGGAGAATTGAAAAAGCAATATATGCTTTAAGGCCAGAGGAAAATCAACAAAATGGTTTTTAGTTAATTGAAAATGTGATTTGATAGACGTCTTGCTTTCATTCATTTTGCTTTCTGTTGTAGTTAAAACTATATTTATTCATTCTCAAAATATCTGTGTGCTGCGCTTTTGCTGTTATTTTAAGACTCTTTTGTTTAAAATCAAGTTAAAGCTTTTGGCGTTCGAGTGTGGATTATAAATCAAAGTGACTGGTAGTGTGCTTCAACGAGTAATGCATTTCTTTCGCTGCACTCCACATTTCTTTCTGTCCCTTTGTGTTTCTCCATTTTGGGAAGACAAACATGCTAGTAGAAAAAACATTCAACTATTTTTGTTTCTCATCTTTTCTCGACTAGTTCTACAATGCTATTTTAAAAGTGCTTAAATGCACATTTCGAATATCCAAATCGTTTTACTATCTTGCTTTGCATCTGTCTATTTAAGTTCTTTCTATATTTGTCATCTACGAAAATAACTTTGAATTGCGTTTTTTTTGTTGAGGTCAAGTCAAGTCTGTTGCTTGCCTGCGGGCTATTCATTCAATATGGTTTTCGCTTTGTTAGCCTATTTTTAGGCTGGCTCAGCGCATTGTGTAGTTTTCGTGGTGGTCGTTTGCGCATTTCACTTATGCGAAATTTGTTACGCTAATTTGGCACACCAACATTTTGCAGTTTGGCAGTGCACAGTGCTCAGTGCTCAGTGTTCGGGGCTCAATGCTCAGTTTTCAATTAGCAACCCAAAAGGAACTTTTGACCTTCTGATGGTGAAGCTGAATGCCGTGCAACCGTTTTGTGTACCGTTGGGCAGCTTATCGGCCTTAAAGTAGACATCCGGTTTGTGGCACAGGCTGTCTCCGATGACAGCTACCGATAAATGCTCATTCAGAGCCCTTTGGCTCGTGAATCATTCAGAGGTAATGCTTTAAGTTTTGCTCTTAAATACATAAGCCGCTTACAACAAGAAAAGCTTAGGGAGATAGTACGAGAGACGGAGACAGACTGTGGAGAGTGAGTGAAAGAGCCACACACGCGTGACTTTCAAACTAATTCATTTATAATTTCATTTGGCCATGCCATAACCAATTCCAGCTATACATAAAATGGAAACGTTGGCAAAACTTTAGCAAAGTCGAAAAACCACAAGAATTGACCACATGTGTGTGTGTGTGCTGTGTGTGTGTTTGTGTGTTACATCCGCAAAGAAAGACAATGTTTTTGTTAACGTTGTGTTTTATGCAAAAGATTGTAAATGGAATTCAACTTTGTGTGACTTATTTTGAATCATTTTGTATCCACTTATCTACATTTGTTCCTGAAGTGAAAATTTCAAATTGAGTTCTGCACGTCATTGGAAAAGTCGAACGTTTTCCGTTACGGAAGTAATTAAGCATTTTGTTTTGCATGCAAAACGCGTGGAAATGATTGGAAAATTGTTATGGCTTATGTAACAAGAAAAGTGAAGGGAATATTTAATGAAAATTGCCAGCGACAACATCGCTTGCCTCTGGCGTTTCTAGTTCTAGTTTCCTTCATTTTTCCTGTTTTTGTTTTTTCTTTTTACTCGCTCAAATCGTTATAAGTGTTTTATGGGAAACGGGAAAAAAAATTTATTGCAGGCAATTTGCAGATATTCCCAGCACTTACAGGCGGTGTGTGGGGCATGGAGCTGTGGCTGTTGGCGAAGGATGGGGCAGGAAATCACAGCGGCAATACACAGATTTCAAGTGACTTCCACTTCTTGTGAAACAGCAATAATAACAACAACAAAAATTACAATAATAATAGAAGACCCAGAGCGAAAGTCACATGAATCATGCATGCGACACAGAACAGAACAAAATGGCGGCTCTATTCCCACAAACGTTTACAAAACAGAGAGAAAGACAGACAGAGACAGAGAGAGAGAGAGAGAGAGAGAGAGACGGAAGAAGTCCATAAATCAAAATGCCAGTCAAAATATGTTTGCTGACTGGAAACTTAAAATGTGAATCAAGAATGATGCTAGGCAAATGTTTGGGATACTTTTTAGCTTCTTTTTTTTATGTCTGCTCACAGTCAAGTGAGCTTAAGTTAGAAAAAGTTGGTCTATTCGCCGAGTGAAACTTGGTGGTCTTGAAACGATTTTGAAACAAGTTCAAAACGTTACATTTCAAATTGAAAAATTGCTGATTCAAGATTCGTAATTTGGTTTCTAGTATGCAATTTTGTCTTCTCTGTGTTCAACTTGTGATTTTTACGGTCTGTAATCGGTTTCCCTGTGTTTCATCAACTTAATCGAGGTAATATTGGTTCTCGACTGGATGTGCCAACTGTCATACCATTGACTACATATGTCATTTCTTTTCTGCCCTAATGTGCACAACAATTGCTACCTATTCACAGCTAAGTGCTGTATACTAATGCATTATATTATATTTAGTATGGCCACACACAAAATTCTTCAATAATAATCATAACCATTAGTTTGAAGGTTATTGGGGGCATTCGTTTACTGTTATTGTTCAACAAAAACAGAGAGAAAAAGAAACTACCCTTTCCGGGGCACAATCAAACTTTTTCAGCCGCTGGCAGATGCCGCACAACTGAGTGTGGAATCAGCTGTTGTTCTTGTTGTCGCATGGACGACATCGAGGAAGTCGCTTGTCAAATGGCAATCTTGGGGCACACTGACAAAACACAGAAAAAAAAAAAACATGATAATCAAATCAAGGCGCCAGCTATTTGGTTAATGTGCATGACAGCGTTGCCAACGACAGCGAAGTTAAAATGCTTAAAAGCGAGGCAGCAGGTGAGGCAGCAGGTGTAGCTTCAAAAGATAAGAGGATGAACAGCTTGTGGGTGGTGCTGTGGGAGGGTAGCAGTTGTGTTGTCTGCGGTGTCAGGCGGGTGGTGGGTGTTGTTGGTGTGCTTCAAAATGTGTGGCATGCTTTTAGGGGCCAACGTTTTTGTCGACGCGCAAATTGCAGCGACAGCCTGTGGCCTGCTACTGTATGTGTGTATGTGTCTCAATGAGTGTGTGTGTGAGTGTGTGTGTGTGTGTGTTGAGTGTGTATGCTGACTATAATTTCATTTGTGGTACATAAAACTTTTGCCAGTGCCTCATCTCGCATTGAGCCAAAAGCCCTTAAGCGACTAAGTAAAAGACAGAGAGAGAGAGAGAGACAGAAAGAGCGACAAATGAGAGTGTGACAGAGAGAGAGAGAGAGAGAGAGAGAGAGAGACAGAGTAAGTCAGAGTAAGAGAGAGTGAGAGCGGAGAATTACATTAAACTAATTGCTTTAGCTTGTCATTGTTGTTGCTCTTATGTATTTATTGTTACTAAGGCTTTTAGGCGAAAACCAAATTATGTTTACTGCTTTAAAAAATATATGTTTGTGTGTTGACTATTACAAAATTTAAAGCACCGCTTAACAAGATGACATATCCATTTCCCAAGAGAGAGAGAGAGAGATAGAGAGAGAGAGAGAGGAGGGGGAGCGGACACAGGTGAGTCTGCAATTACCTTTGACCTTAAGAAGGAGAACTTAAACAAGCGCTGACCGAATCAAATATTTATGCCAACACACACAACACAAGGGGCATTAAAAAGGAAGATTTCTGCGGTGAGCTTTTTGGGATTATTTAACTACAAAAGTGTTGAGTAATTTGCGGTTGGGCAAAAGACTTTTGTTGAATATTTAAACACTGAGCGGCAATAATGTTTACTTTGTTATTTTATTTTTTTTGTTATGAATATTCATCGGGAAAAAGCAAAAAGGGAGGCGTCAACAATTTGGTAGCATAAAGCACATAAATAAATAAAAATATAAAGCACTGTGATTCACTCGCTCGCTGTGTGTGTGTGTGTGTGTGAGCTGCAAGTCCTTAGGTCCTTCTGTTCGCTATAATGACGAAAGAAAAACAACATTTCAGTTCAATGACACCCCAAAAAAACAACAGACCCTCGGGCACCAAGTTCGAGTTGAGGCACCTCCATCAACGTCAAGTCGAGCCTCTCACCTACCCCCTCTCCTTGTTGCGCTGCACATGCTGTGTCGATTTTTCGGGGGCCTTCAAATGGAAAACTTTTGTTACACTTCGTTTGGGGTGCTGGCAGTCTGCATTTTTAATTCCCCCACCCAACCCGACTAATTTTCGTGCCGCTGTGGAGTTGAGTGACCCAACTCTCCACCTCCATTCCCGTTCCCATTCAGATAACGCCTGTCGATATATAAGTATAAGTAGGCAAATTGTGAAAATATTGACAAAACAATTGATGCTTTTTGCACGCGAATTTTCAACACCAATTGTGCCCACACCGCACCCCCGCCCCGCACTCTGCCACAAACTGAGTTAATAGCCACCCTTCCGTTTGCACGTTTGTCTTTATCTGTTTTCATTCTATTTATAAAGTGGGGAAAGTTGAGGTAGAAGTGCGAAAAGTTTAGCATAGTTTTTGGAGCAGCCAGCAAAGGGGCGAAATGTTGTTAAAAGCCAACAATTGAATTATCGATTAATAATGTAAGATACCATCTTGCTGGAATAATAATCGAAATTAATTAAAATATGGATATTCAT